AGATATCTTCAAAAAAAGTTAAAGAGTTCAAAAGATGAGTCATCTTCAATTTTAAAATTTGTTATTGAGTTTTTCAGTAGATTTCATGCTTGTATTGCAAGAGATTTTAATATATTTTTATTGCATACATGATTTTCTTTTAATAGACAGTGAAGTTCGCAAAAAATTGAGATTGGGCATTGGAATACTGCAAAATAATTTTTAAAAAGAATTGCAAGCAACTGCGGAAGAAGTGGCTTCGCCTAGTCAGTATGAGCATACCTTGGCAAGATCATGATTATTTGTGGCTTTGTGAATTGGTAAAAAAACATTTGTTTACTTTTAAGCTTCGTAAGTATTGTCCTGTTCATAAATAATAAAAAGAAGCATTTTATTAGAAATAGAAGATATATTAAAACACTTATCAGTGAAATGATGGTTAAAAGTATATAAATCCATCTTTACTCAGACATATGTGCATGTTTGAGTTGCTTATGTAATGTAGAAAAATGTAATGTAAAAATATAGAAATTCTGCTATGTAGAGGTTGAAATGTTAAAGCAGGCTTGTGGATAATAAAATGTGCCTGCAATTTTATTGTGTATATGAAAAAAAATGGTACTCATGTATTAACCTGTCAAATGTAAAAGCTAGCAGAGACTTTGCAAGTTGTGGCAGTTGTTTCTGCAGGATTCTGAAGAACTGACACCTCTTTGTAAAAGGCTTTCACCAATTTCTACTTTTTTGTTAGGCCTTCTGGTTTTATCACAATTCTGTTTAGAGTGCTAGGAGTACAAATTTCCTGCAGGTAACCATTATGTAACAGGTCATGGAACCCATTCCATGACAACAGAAAAAATGTTCTTCCAATTGTTTTTTTACCTTTAAGAGGGGTTTCTTAGAACCATTTTTGCACAAGCTTTTGTTTTGTTTAATTCATCGTGCAAAATTTATATAAATGTCTCTTTATTTGCCATTTCTGGAATTGTCTGAATGCTCAGACATCAGTTTTTCTGCAAAGTATCATTGATTTTCTGGATGCTTGCTTCACGTCTTGAACTCAGATTGACTAGCACTTTCATCATTTTCAGGCTCTTACCAACCTTCTGAAAACAGTTTGTGCCGTTCAAAAACTCATGCACATGACATAAAATTATCACCAAACACCTCCTTTAACATATGAAAACATTCCATTGGCGACTGTTTCAATTTCACAAGGAATTTGAGATTAATGCGCGGGTTGATTTAATTTCCTGACTACAGCATTACTATAGAACAATGTCCTCTTGAAGGTTCAAGGCTAACTGCATTTCAACATAAACTTCCCACCATGGGGCTGCATGATAGAAGGTGCGCAGTCGCATTGTGTAATTGTTTTGCCTTGTGTTACTGATTTATTGACAATACTCAGTTGACCATATCGCATCCATCAATGCATACAGAGGATCCCTTAACTTTGAAAATAAGCCACTGCTTACTGTTCTATAGCAGGCAGGTCCTACATTTTAATATTCCCCCCCCCAAATGAATGAAAAAATACAGCAGTAACAATTAATTGATATCCTTGTGTTCATGGAAACAAAGTGGGGCTTATCAAGATACATCGAATGAAAGTGCAGATGTTACGAATGTGTTGTTATGTCATGCACATTCATAAATCACACTGCTTGGCAACAATTTCTCATCTGATGGGATATTACATAAGTACCACAAATTTTATATTTCAGTTAGTTATACACAATGTTTTTTTTATTGTAACTGAAAAATTTTACTATGGATTTGTTTAAAATTCATTATTTACTGCACGGCATGCAATTTTTTCTTTTTTAAGCTGAATGTCTTTAATTACAGAACTGTAGGTACTCACTGGTTAAAATACTCTGGATTAAATATTTCTCAGTAGATTTTTGGCAAAATTAAAATTATGAAAAATCCAAACATACAGAATGTTTACAACCTATATAATAAAGGCTGAAAATAGCCATTTTTATAATTTTTATTTTTAAAAATTAAATGCATAATTTGAAGCAATCTCTATTTCATTGATCTATAACAAAACTTATTTGATTCAATAAATTATTTAGAAAATTTCTTTCCAGGTTTTGATTTGATTAGTCATTGATCTGATTCCAAAGATAAGCACTTTATCTCATACTATTATAGATATAAATAAAAAATATTTTATGAAATCACAGGAATAAAAGGCCATTTTAATAATTTATGTGTAGTTCTTTAAAAGGCTTTTTAAATGTAATTTTTATTTGTTAATTTAAGTGTAACGATGTTGGCACTTGGTTACAAATTTTGCAATAATGAACATTTCAAATAAATGTGTAAAAATATTTATGACAACAGAAGAACAGAACTTAATATTTTTGAAGAGGCTTAAAATCATTATGTATATGTATAGCTAGAAACTGCAGAATTGTAAATAAATATGATAATTTAAACCTAACTCTTACATGCTTTTAATATTTATTAATATGATAGGTACAAAAAGAATTTAAAAAAAGCATTTATGCAATTAACTGCTAATTAATTAAGCATTAGAATGCTCATTTATTCATATCAAAGTAGTAATTCATTTTGTTTGCTAGTAATTATAGCGTTAATTATAATTTAAATCTGTATATTAAATAAAATGCAAAACAATGAAGTAGGTTTACGAAAAGAGGGGTTTGGGGTGAAACCACAAGTAATATAAAACTAATAATATATATATGTAAATATAAAATATCTATCTTTCAAAAATCTTTCAAATAATAAATTAATAACAGCTCTGTAACTCCTGTCTTCATTCTAAAAATAACAGAGCAATAATTATTCTAACTAAACTCCCTGCAATTCTGATGTGGACTTATCGATGAACTCTGAAACTAATAACTGCAAATTATTCTGTCATGTGATCTGAAATGGAATTCAGTATAAAAGGTTAATTGCATCACAACTTCCTTCCTTCTCTCCTTCCTTATACTTCTATTCGCTTGTACTGCCTTCCTACTAGCCATGGAGAAATTATTTTTCCAGTTTCGTCCAGGGTTAAAAAAATATAAGTTGTATAAAATTGTAGGGTGCACAGTGCACCCTTAGTGATGATGTGCATTATCAAGGAATAACATTATGAGCGGAATTTACAGTTATTTTTTTTTCGAGCGACATCTTTCTAACTATGCAGTAAAGTTTTCAAGTTATGATGCTCTTTAATTTCTTCTAATGATAATAAATTAACTTGCAAACTCAAATGTTGACAAATAGGATTTCTAGTTAACATATCAGCTTCAACATTAGTAGAACTTGCACTGCAGCTTCAAGTCTGCGTAGTTAGATAGATGGACGCATAAACCAACAACTTTCAGATGTAGCCGTTTCATAGTTTTATTCTATGATAAATTACATCAGCTAATTTTTTTAGACAGGGTATTTTTTCAATCAGAGTTAAACATGATAATTTTTATATACACAAGTAAAAAGGATACGACATCATTTTAGGCATGGATATGTTGGCATGGCGAAAGCTAAGAAAAGGAATGACATAGTTGCTTGCGAGCAGTATCTATACTAAGTAGGGGCATAAATTATAGCTAAGCTGTGATTGATTAATTTTAGGTTATTATGTAACGTGGAAAGATCTCAAATTTAGGAGAACATATGAACTTGGGGGGTATAACACCAAATTTAGAATAGTTAATTTTGAGGTCGCCAATCGTTTCTTAGTGCAGCCATCATATTTTGTTACATGCATCCATCTGTCTAACTACGCAGACTGTTCAAGCTGCAGCGCATCAAAATATCCACCTCAGTCATGATGACTGCAAGCTGATAAAAGTACTGGTGCCATCTATGCACTTAAAATATCACATATATATTTTTTAGTCTATACTTTAGGAGATTCCATGTGAAACAACTAGATAATTTACAGATTAGAACCACATTCTACACAATTTATTTAACAAAACTTTGAATTCTGATAAGTAATAAGAAATTAATTTCATTAAAATTTTCTCTTGCATATGGCTTGCTGTTTAAATTCAATGTAGAAATTGGGAAGGATTTCTACAATTCCCAAATTTCAATCAATAATTTTTCATTAAATATTTCACTCTGCCTTTTGAAACAAGATGCTGTTCTCAAAAGCTTATTAATTAACTTATTCTGCTCATAAAACTTTGTAAATAAATGAACATTCAAAAATTTTAACTACTGCTAAGTAAAAAAACTATCTCCTCAGATTGCTCTATTTAAATTCCATCCAACACTGAATAAGTGTTGTTTTACTGCACAGCCATGGCTCCATGAAATAGCTGTGCAGTGGTCAAACAAGTTTGCATTGTGTCTATGGTTACTTTCATTCTTCTCCTGTAATTTCTTGACTTTTGCCCCTCTTTTTCTATGGCAAATCTCCCAAGAAGACAAGGCTTCATAATATTTTAAGTGACCCCATGCCACATGGCACTACACACAAACATTTCTGCTATCTCTGAGATTTAAACTCGTGCTACGGTAGCTGGCTTCCTGTAATACAGCACAATGCCAAATGGGCAACTTTATATTTAAAAGTAATATAATATATATCCTCGCAATCCAGAAAACTCTTTTAGCTTACACTGAGAGAGAATTTTTTATTCATTTATTTATCAAAATATCTTTAGTAGTGTGTGAATAAAAATAAAATCACAAGCAGCTGCAGCTGCTAATAATAGCGAACTTTAAAAGAAAACTCTTCCAAGAAGAAACTGAATGTAATCCTTTTTATATATGCCAGTTTTATTGCTTCTTGAGGTTTTCTTAGTTACCCCTATAATTATACAGTTGTCGTAAATAACGTTTATAATGTTTATTAAACTATTCATAAAAATATAAAAATTCAAGACAATAACATGTTTTACGTGAATGCATTTTTAAACAAATATTTCTAACTGTAAATGCCAAGAAGTAAATGGTTAAATAAATTTGAAAATAATAACACAAATTTTCAGAAATTACGTAAGAAGAATAAGTATCATTATTCATTTCCAACTTACTTTGGCTTGTAATCATAGAAGTCTCAGTAACAGGTAAGGGACAATCTTTCAGATTTGGTGACTAATAAAAGGCAAAATAATCAGAAAAAATACCAATTTACAAAATATTACAGAAATATTTTATGCAAAATGTAACTTACCAAAAGTATAGGTTTTTTATCAGTAGGAGATGTCAGAGAATCTATAGAAGAAATAAACATTATATAAAGAACACAAAACAGGCAACTATCACTTACACGGATGAATAATGCGGATACATAAAGAAATTTCTCATACCAAATATTTTCAGATAATAATACATCTCTGTACATGACACAGCTTTTCTCCAAAAATTTTCATATCAAGTACACATATTAAGCAAACTTACTATTAAGAACACTAAATTAAGGCCCACAAATGCTACAGCACTCAAATTATCATTTCAGTATTTTATTTTAGTACTTGACTCACAAACTACTAGCATTATTAGCCTGCAGTATCAGTTTTGAGATGTTTCCAATGAAACAATAAATCCTGTAGATTAAAGATTTGAGAAGTTTTTAATAAATTAACAAACTACAGTATCATAAACTTAATACAATTTTTTTTAAAAAAAACTAAGTATTTATGGTAATAACAAATATAGTACTATGACTTCATGTAATAAATTTATAAAAACTATTGTTAAAGAATAACTCTAAGTACTTGCTACTATATATATAAATATTTTAAGTCATAACCATCGATTCTTTCTAAAAAATAAATAAGCTGAATGCCATATTATTCAATTACACACGCTTATCGCATAGCACTTACAGGATAATATCAAAACGCAGGTACATTTCACAGGAAATATGCTGTGTTTTCTGATAAGACAATAAACTTCTATCCTATAAAGTTTATATGTATTAACACTTTATTAACCCACAGCCTATTAATCAGTTTTTTGTCATGGTCACTTACCAGTAGCCTGTTAATTGGCTTTTTGTTCCAGATGCTTACCCACCAACAGTCTTTTAATTGGCTGCTGAGGAGATAAACAGCCATTTGTTATATAGTTTTAGGTACAAGTTGCATTGCTGTGTAAACTCCCACACTTTTACATCATTTTGAAAAACTATCGTTCATGATGGACGAAAAAAATAGTATTCGAGAGTTTCATCTAGATGATCTATCAGATTGTCCTGACAGTTATTTACGAAGTGATGGTGGTAACGAAAGTGATGGCAACAATATAACAATTCAAAAGCAAGGTTCTGTATTACCACTAAGATATGGTGAGTCAGAAGATGATTGAATAAGTAATGTCGAAGACAATGCAAATAGAGTTGAAGATAACGATGATACATGGTCAATGAATGACGAAGAAATAATTTTGGAACCTTTTGAAGGCAGCCCCAGCATAAAAATTATGCCAAGTTCTCCAGAAAGTGTGATGGGTGTTGAAGTTATTTAAGTAACAAAAGAAAAAAACAAGGTACTGTAATTTTTTATTTTATATAGTATTTGTTATTTGTTTGGCAACATTTCAGAATGCACTTCAACTTCTACTTTGAGAAGCTCAGTTGAGCAATTTGTTGTTGACTTTGTCATATAACTTAACTTGCATTAAAAGCATGGATTAGAAAAACATTTAGTAAGATTCTTCTTCAGTTTTAGCATATTTAATCTTAAAATGCAATAATGGGTAGTGTCAACTTTTTCATTGGAAATTACTTTTTTGACTGCATGGTGAGGGAATCTAATAGACATCCTCATCAGGTCGTGGGGAAATACAAAATTCCATCAAGAGCGAAAAAATTGACAAATATAATGGTACCAAAAATGAAGAAGTTTTTAGGGCTAACAGAGTTCTAATGGGACATACAAAAAAGGATATTAGCTACGACTATTGGTCCACTGATTGAAGTATAGAAACTCCATTCTCATGAGTAATGAGCAGGAACAGATTTATGCAAATAATACAGAGCTGGCATTTTTGCAATATTGAGAAAATTTCTCACAATTCACGTAGGCTTGATTTGGACGAGTATATAATTCCATGGAGAGGTAGACTCTTGATTAAAAGATACAATCCCACAAAAATTACATTAGAAGACACTGTTTTAACAGTTACTGAACCATGTAAGAACACATGGCACCAGATTTATCAAAATAATTACTATAACAGTGTCAATATGGATAAAATTCTTCTGGAAAATAAAGTCCGAGTTACAGAACCATTAAAAAAAAGAGAGATTATTCTTGATCACTCAAAATAATACAACTTTTAAAAGGTCAACATAAATTTCATACAAATCATCGAATTTTGTTAGAAGTATGGAATAATGGCAAAAGAAACCTCAATATGATCTCAACTGTACATTCTGCACAATTAATGGAATCCAGAAGCAGAAGTAAAAGACCAGACAGCCCAATACAAATGCCCAATTCAATTCTAAATTATAATTAATATATGATGGGCATAGATCACACACACCAATATCTACTTTATTATTCCACTTTAAAAAAAAAAAAAGGATAAGTTGTAATATTTTTTATCAACTGTGCACTTTTCAATTCATTTAAAGCACACACAGTTCTTAAAAGAAAAAATGTTACATACAGGAATTTTCTGCACAAATAGGCAATTTGACGGATAGAAGATCTACTTATTCTGAACTTACAAGGAGAATACCCAGATTAGACCATCTCAGAAGATTGTCAAATTTTAAAAAACATAAACTTATACATATACTGACCGGTGGCCAAAATGTAAAATCCTACTTTACATTAACTGCACAATTAAAAAAGGGGGGTTGAACATGTCTGTAAATTTTGCAGTTTTACACTAAACAAAGTGACTGCTTTAAAAAATAAACAAAGGTGACTGTTTTAAACAATATCTTGTGATAATAGGTAATAATTTTAAACCAAAATATTGCTAATAATTCACAACAAATCTGTTACAAAATATACATTTAAATTAGCAATACAGTGTGTGCCCACATATTTATCCTTACCATCACCAAGCCAAAAACATAAAGCTGCTTCCTGTTTTCATTTAAATGATTTCTTTCAATCACTTTTTGAAGCTTTACAGAAGAAAGATATACATACTGTCCAAGAAACACAAAATAATATTATCATATCAAAGTTTTGCTCAGGGAAAAAATACTGCAGATTGTGGTTTTGCTACCATTGTAATTTAACTACAATCTTAATGTCAAGAACTTCCTCAAGTAACAGCATTTCTTAATTCAACAAAATAATGATATATAAGCATTAGTATGTTAACCAACTACAATTTATACAGTCCCATTTATGGTGACTTTTCCTGAGTATCAATAACCCTACATTGATTTGACTCTGTGCAATTTAAAAATGAAATATTTCAAAGTTTTTCTCTGATTTTAGATACACATCAAGTTGGTAAAAACTACTGTCTGTCTATGGTAAGAACACCTCCCGCCACGGTGTCTGGCGGGTGGCGGTCGCTATAGCAACAGGGCTAGTATATTTCAAATAGGGACGAACCAAGAGTTGCTTTATTGTTATTTTGTTTTTGGCAACTGTTGGCTGAAGGGAAAAGAGTTTATCATTCGTCTTCTCGGTTTCATTCCAGCTGCACGCATCTTTTCTTAAGCCATATATTATTACTATTAGCTATTTTCATTCTTGATGTTATATCATTTGTACTGGTATTTGTTCAAATTTGCTTCTATTTAGCTTGATTTTCATAGTGCTTTGTTAATCGCCAATTTTTTAAAATGCCCTTCCAGTTTAAGAAAGGTCAACCTTTAAAGTCTCAGGCACGTCAAATCGTGTACAATGTTGCAGAATTTTGCGCTTCTGAAGCTTCGGCGAACTCTTTAGTAGTTCCTCTTCCTCAAGTTTTGAAGAGAACATTGCAAGCTACTGAAGTATCAGAGTATACAATTAAAAAAATTAAGTGCAAAATATCAACAATGGTGAAGATCAACTTCTAAATATGCCTGGAAAGAAACCTAAAAGCACTGCTATTCATATTGTGCGAAATAGACGATTTTGACAAATGCGTTATACGACAGACAATACAAGACTTTTACATCAAAGAAAAGAAAGTGCCATCTGTGCGGAAATTACTGCCTGTCTTGAGGCAAAAAATAGACTTCCCGTGGCAAAAAGACTCTTTGTGCAAAGTTTTGCGTTCAATGAATTTTTGCTGGAAGAAATGCGTTAACAAAAGAAAAATTCTTATCGAAAGACCTCACATTGTATTTTGGAGGAACAATTATTTACGCGAAATGAGGAAACTCAGAGCAAGTGGACGCCACATCGTTTGCATCGATGAAACATGGATTGACAGCAATTTAACTTTTAAGAAATGTTGGCAGCATGATACAATTTTGGGTGCACAGATAAATGTCAGTTCAAAAAATAGACTGATTGTTGTCCATCCTCTTCCGCAGGATTTATTCCAGAGCCCAACTTGTATATAAAGCATCAGCTCAAAGCAGGGATTACCATGAGCAAATGAACTATGGAAATTTTGAAAAATGGGTGTTGGGAAAGTTTCTTCCAAATTTATGACCCCAAAGTGTGGTATGCACAGATAATGCCCCGTATCACACAAAAATTGAAGATCCGACAGCCATGAAATATGCTACAAAGCAAACAATGGTTAATTGGCTGATAAAAGAGCATGATATGCTGCGATCCCAAAATGCGAAAATTGGAAATGTTTAACTTAATAAAATGCAACGTCCTAAAAAAGTAATCTATAAAATTGACAACATCATAAATGAAAATGTGCATCATGTTGTGCGTCTTCCTCCTTACCACTATGATCTAAACGCAATTGAATATGTTTGGTCATCAGTTAAAAGACTGATCAAGGAAAGGAATGTGACTGGAGACTTAAGCTTGGAAAATTTGAAAAATTTAACACAAAAAGCTTTGGATGAAGTCACTTCTCAAGAATGGCATGCGCACTGCAACCATGTAGAAAAACTTGAAAAATTCTTATTGGGACAAGGACGAACTTCTAGAAGAGATAGTGGATGAATTAATAATTCAAACTGGCAGCAGCGATTCTGATTCTGATTCAGAAAAAACGGAATCTTGCGACAGTGATTCAGACGACTTTTCAGATGTAATCCCTTATAAAATCCTCCATGAAGGCATCCTCTTCTTCATCTGATAGCTCTGTCAAGTTATGAGATTTCTAGGTTCATATTTTCTTGCCACTATGTAAATGACAGGTTACCAAAAGTGGGCAACAATAGCCTTCGGTAGGGCGAAACCCCCCTTGTGGATAATAAACTGAATGGTTGCTTCATTTCCCATTACTGTGTTCTTTTGGAGACCCCAGCCATGGTTATAATTTGCTTAAAAAATAATTTTTAATCTTTAATGGAATTAAATAAGTTTCGTTTATTATGAAATAATAATACAACAAAATTATTTTAATGCAAACACTGCTCACTGCAGTTAAAAAGCCAAATTTTTGCATAATTATATAATTTTGTATAATTTTAAATATAAATAGGTAAGTGAATAATTTATGAGACCTTAATTTTGTTCTGATTTTATTATGCTACTAGCTATTAGTGTCTATAAAAAACAGCATAATGCATAAATGGGCGCTGGTAATTAAGAGGCCCAGTAGCGGCCGATCAGTAAAGTCACTGAACACTTGTCCGAAGTTTGAATCCCGTGAACGGGCTGGCTGCATGGGCGTTTTCCATGTGTAACGTGTATACGAGCCAGTTTTCCTTAGCAAGACCTCCACGAAGGCATCCCTCCTCTTAGGAATTTTACTCTGGAGGCTTTTCGTAATCATATAAACCAACCCAAACCACTGATAATTAAGGGAAAAGCAGTTTTGATTTTAATTTACCTTTGCTTCCTTTCGCCATTAAATTGACCAGCTTTTGGTTTAGTTTGAGGTATGGGAAAAGAAGAAATGTTTGCAAAAAAGTTTTATGAGAGCATGGGTATGTAAAATAAACGTTTTACTTTCAGATGATTCATATACTTTAACGATGAAATTTTTAGTCATTGTTAAAGCACAAGCAATAAATAATAGAAAAATTTGAAAAAAAACATAGCAGAATGTCATTTTAAGACTGAGAAATTGTTTTGAAATCTTCACAGTAGATTAGCGAGGGGGAGAAACTATAAAAATTTAATTAATTTACATTTATGAATGCGTCTATACTATATTACAGAGATAGGGCATTAAGTAAATTTAAGATGTCATCTAGGATTTTGCAAAGCAAAAAATAAACAAAAAAGAAGCAAAATAATAGCATGATTTTTTAATGTAAAATTAAAATTTTTCTTCAAAAAATAACACGATTTTAAATGTATTTCCCTACAAGTTATTTTGATATATTTTTACTCATTGACATCTAGAAGGATGGCAAATTCAAAGCCGACTTGTCCTCACACGGCAATCAAAGACTGTTTCTTGACTGCAAAAACTTTATTTGCGCCATCAAATTTTCTTTTCGGAAATTGAATGTTCGGGGGTCGATGCAAAGGGTCAACCAACATTACTGAAACTAAAACAAAAATGTGATATCGCCAAATCATCTTTCAGCGGGTGGCAAACTGAGAAGTAAATCTTCAAGACACCCCTATGAAAAATGGGTCAGGGCTCATTTCTACGTCAACAGACAGCTGCAGACAAACTGGCGAGAGCTGTTCTTACCATAGACAGACAGTATACATTACAAATTCTTTTCTCTTCCACCCCCTCACAGTGGAACATGAAAGATCAATCAAGCACATCACTTTATTATAGAAATAGATTTAACTCAAAATTTAGTGCTAATTCAAATTTTCCAAAATATTTTATGTTTTGCAAAAAAAGTAAGTAAGCATGCATAAAAATCCACAGTTTTTAATATGGAAACTGATGGCATAATCTAAAATTTTAAAACTTTTTTTCACTTGCCTGAGGTAGAATTCATTTCATTTTCTGTCAGATATTTGCATGCGTCACTAGGAGGATCTTCAAGAGTTATAACCTGAAAAAAAAAGTATTATGCATGGAAGGAAAAAAAGAAAATATTTTAAAACAGGTATATAAAAAGAATTAATTTAGAATTCAAACAACAAAAATCAGCATTATATTTGCAAATTTTCACAAGACTAGTTTCAATGGTTTTACAGAACATCATCCTCAGCTGCCAGAGTGCAAAATGTTTTCGTTGTTTGAATTCTAAATTCATACTTGTTCAGCATGTTATTTTATCTTAATTATATAAAAATAAATTTACCACAGGTGAAGGTTTCTTTTCCACTGGAGATACAATACAACCTATAAATGAAGTATTAGAAATTAGTGAAAATTTACATATTAAACTTACATAATTCAATTTTTCAAATTTTATTCATATACTATGACGTTATGTATTACCTTATAGAAATGCATTCAATTTTACCAAGCAGTATGAGAAATCGGTCTTTTTACACAAGGTGGGAGAAAAAAAAAATGCATAAGAACTACCAAATTTTGGAGACATACTTAAATTAAATTTGATCTCTATCTCTCCAAAGCAGTTTCTTTCTCATGTGTGCATCAATGCATTCACTTACCCTATCCGTGATATGTTGTCTAAATGCTTCTCGGATGAACTATATCTACCATCCTCCATAATTTATTTTTAATATGTCTTACAGACATGAAACTGATATTCTTTGGGATGGGGGGGGGCAAAGTACCAGGTCTAGCAAGGATAGGATGAGGAACAAGTTTCCTTTCTGACCAGAACCATTACTTCTTCAAGCATTATGTCTTAATGCATCACAGTGGTGAAGCAATCAGATACTCTCTTTGCAAACATGAAGTCTTTTACAACAATTAACCTCTCTGATTCATCTTCAAATTCAAAATAAAATGTCCCCTGGATATCGAACTTGGCAGAATGAATTCTCGGTGCATAATCACATTCATATGTGCATATATGTCTACTAAAGTTACTAATATTGTCTTCACTGCTTTTCTAACTTTTCTTCAATCTTAGATAATTTGGAATCCTTTGTTTAGACCTACTTCTTCACATCAAATTTGTAACTATGAAATTTGTAGTCCTGGATGACTTAAAACACTGCTTCTGAAAAGAACATAAAGCATAAAATTCAGTTATTTGGCACATTTCAATTAAAGGACTACGAAAAAACATTCCTTTAACAATGCAAGTGCTGGACTATGACAAAAATAAATGCCTAGATACACAATAGTGTTACTCTAAAGGAAAGGAAGACTAGATTTATTCAAGTAAAGTTTTAAAATTTGGATGATCTTGCCAAGTTTCTTTTTTGATACACCATATACTTAATTCCTTTTCTGTTGCCTTGGAACAAGATATGGCGGAACAATCTCATTGCAGAAAGTGGCAACATTCATTTTTACTGCTCAAAGTGTTTGTTTGTTCATCACAGCATGAGGACAAAAATTTGAACATTTTCACCAAAAGAGTCACTTCTTGCCTGTTTGTAGTTGATGTTTGAAGTTGGCTTGTGATTGTTTTCATTTTAAGTATTTAACTGCTTGCAAGATGCATTTTTACCTTTTAAATGTTAAATAAAGTTGGTTTTGAGTTACCTGTTGAAGTTGTAGCCTTTTTAATGATCTTGTGACAAGTCTGGAATATAATGATGTTAAAACATCACCATTATATGATGTTTTAATACATTTGCTGCCAGTGAAAATAATATTTCCATCCTTAGAAGCCAGGCAGTATTTTAATGGTTAAAAATGTCCTTAGTATTTTGCTAGCAAAACTAGAAAAATGGAAATACATTTTATTTTCATGCTTAGTGTAATTTTTTTTTTTTTTTTTTTTTTTTTTGGTTCCCTTGACACTCTAGTACTTTAGTGGCACATCAAGTTCAACTTATCATGTGCTATTGATGCTCTAGCACATTTGATCATTATTCTAATAAATTATTGATATACTGCATAAAACCACACACCTCTAAAGATTATATAATGTGGCAAATTATATATAATGCATAATTAAAAGCATGAAAAGAATACAAAAATTATAAACTTATTGCTAGTGAAATGTCATTTGTTTAGAAAACAGTAACAACATTATCATCTACAGTACATTTCACAGCAGTTCAAGCAACACCTTGGTTTGTCTGCACAGTCACTGCACTCATATGTGGTGTCTGTGTGTAACCACCAGTAATTGTTGAAGTGTGTTGTTGCCTTCTGTCTCAGAATCTGACATTTCGATGATGACCAACACAATATCACTATCGCCTTTAGATTCACTCGGAGAATCCCAGTCGTAGTCTTCATCGTCTGTGCTCTCATAATTGAAAAGGTCACCCCTTTCCTAATAATTCTAATGTTTGGGAATCAGTTAAATTTTCATTTACTTTCCTTTTCTTGGTTCAGCCATACATGTACCATCCGCCATTTTTAAACATGCAGAGAAAAAAAATTCAAAAACAAAGTTTGAAAAACCCTGCATGCAAAAAAAAGAAAATAATGCTTCACTAATGTATCTAAACAGCCTCTTTTTTTCAATTTCAGTAAACTAAAGCATATATAACTTGTGATAATCGACAAATGTCTCAGGACGTAGTTGACACACAAAGTGGAACCATTCTGACATTCCAGCACATCAATGGCAGTGAATGTGTTAAACTTACCTTCTATATCAACATTAACAAAAAATAACAATTTGAATTCAAAATTTCCCTTTCTACTCAAAGTGTCATTTATTTTTAAATCAAAAGCTTCTGGAAATGCTTTCTCCCAATCCTTTTCACTTCCTTATACAAAGTAAAGAAGCAAGGTAATTATGAAAAATTTTGGGTATCATATTTTAACAAAAATATCCATTTTGACTGCTTTTGGATCCATCTGAATCATGTTTTTGCATGACATTTGTACGTATGGACAGAATAAGAGACTCTTTTTCCAAAACGGATTTAAAATGGATTGAGAAGAGATTTTTTTCATGACATCTGTACGGATGTATCTTGCCTAACTGAAAAACTGATAGACATAGAACACATAAATTTTGTATACGAGACTGCTGTAACATGTAGTTACACACATTACCTTTTGATTGCAACTTGTTGTATGCATATTGTTATAAATTTTGTACAAAGATAATTTTAGTGAATTATATGTGAAATTATATTTTTCTGTATAATGTAACATGAAAAGCTTGAGAGAAACGATGCTCTGCCGGAAAAATAAAAATACATTCTTAATCATTATATTCTTAACGTAATTCTATGCCGAGCTTGGTGACATTTTGGTCCAGTCCCTGTGCAACTGTAATGGATATTGTAATTGAATAACTAATTGATTCCTATATAACAGTAACCATATCTGGCCCTCATACACCTTTCACTAATTCCAAGAAGCAGAAAGCATCAGAGATTTTTCAAGCGGCCAGGGGATATAATGGAAGGAGTATCAGATTCTCAGAAGTAGTAGTTAGTTCAACGTGGTGTGAAGTATTGAGATAACTCTATGTTAGCTTTGCTCTTCAGATGAGCTTTGCATTAAGTTGCATTTAATGTCCTTAGTAGTCTGAAGTGTAACTACTGATTCTATTCTCTGATACTGTGAAGAGCTGTGTGAATATTTTTGTGGAAAATTCCAAAACTGTAAAGTGTTTCTTTTGGTAAAATAAGTTGTATCAAGGTATCACTGGTTCTGTGTGCATTCAATCTATTACAAAACCACGCAAAAGCAACAAATACTACATATATATACAACAACATCAATATATACATATATATATTCCTCCCCCCTTACCTGGCCCAGTGAGCACAGATTTTTATTCATATATGATGGTAAATTGTGCATTTTTTGCTTTAAAAATAATTGGTTTTATGTTATTCTTATGTTCTAGTTAAGGTTGTAGGCAATAGTTGTAGAATCATTTACAATTTAAATGTGTAAGCGAAGCTGAGCCTAATGAAGTAGTTTTTGTTTACCCATGAAACTCTTAGTAGTATAGGAAATTCAGTCAGCTGTTGCACCAATTTCAGAATTTCTCTGCCCAGTGAGGCCAAAGGTTAACTGAATTTTGGCACACCTAAAATTTTATCTTCCTACCCATTGGCCGCATTGTTTGTTTTCACATTGAAACTTCCATTGCAAAAATTGCAAAAATTTCCATTGCAAAAATTGATTTTGAACTGTTTTTAACTATATTGTGTTTTAGTTTTTCTGTATTTTACAATTTTTAATGAAGATATTTTGAGTTTTTATGTATTTTTGCCTTGCTGTGAAGTAGGAAATTAATTTATTGAATAAGAAATATACATCTAAAGAAATTTGAGGAAATATTTTTAAATGAGGTGCAGAAATAATTGTCCATAATTTAATAGGCCATACAAGGATGCCATGTGGTGTCTACATTAATTTTTTTAACCTATCTGAAATATACTTGAATTCGGATCATTATAATGTGCTGTAGGAAATTTTTAATTATTACATATGATATACAAACATTCAGTTATGTTTCTTCAAGAAATGTTTACACATGGATTTGACAGGTCACTGACAGATGCAATCAAATCATTTAAGAGCGATATTTTGTCATGATATGATGAATACCACCATACATACACTTTAGCTTTAGTACATGCCTTCCTAACTTTCCCATAAGACACGGAGCCAAGGTTACAAAAGAGAATGTCATAATAAGGCTTAGATACGATATGCTATAAACCAACAGAAATTTTACGTTAATAAATTTATGTAAATTATATCTGTTTATTTGTTCATGTTATAATAAAATGGTTGGTCATCATCTATGTATTCTTTATGAAAATGCTTACATCATTACATGCACACTGCGCAAAAAAAGGGGGGCAATTCTATATCTCCCATTCTACTGAGCGAATTGACAAAATTCAACTTGCAATTTTCATGTCTCGACAGAACGACTGTATTAAATTTATATATAGCATTTTTCTATTATAGGTATTTTGACACAAAATCAGGATTTTCCATATTTCGATTCTATGACTCAAATGATGCCTAACTTTATTATATTTCGTTCATATTATAACTCCATTATTCATATTATAACTTGTATTATATTTCGTTCATATTATAACTCCGAATGCACGAAATTTATATCATTTAAAGAATTATCTAATCGTTGCTACATGTTCTATTCAAATACTATAATAAAGCTAGAACGATGTATAAAAGAAATTAAGCAAGCAAAAAAAAAGAAAAACAGTTTTTCACAGATGATTGAGTATTTCTCATTCAAAATTAATTCAGTTCTCGCTTCGCGACAACCCAAAAATACATAAAAACTCAAATATATCTGTATAAAAATTACGAAGTAAATCTTAAACACTATTTCCTCGAAAACATTCCAAAAGGATTAAGCACGATTTAATTCAAGTTTGTTAAAATCGCACTAGTTTTTTAAAAATTAGCTCTCAATTTTAGCTCTTCAGTGCTAATTGAATTTAGTATTAATAATAATATATCTTTCTTTATTAAAATTTTTATTCTTCCTTTCACATTTCAAAATTTAGGTTCATTCCAAATAATATTCACCCATTTTTTCAGATTTATTTTTAAATAACTTTTATAAATTTTTTGAAAAAAATTTGAATTGTAAACTATAAAATTCTTACAATCAGCTTAAAGTAGATGTATTTCTAAGCATACCTGCAAAAAATTAGGGTTTCCCTTCCAAGTTTCCTAAGTTATACGTGAATTTACATATTGGCACGCTTTGAAATTTGGCATATTTGTTATAAGCGATAATAACGGCAAATGCGGTTTACGCACATTGTTAAATTTATTTGAAAGTATGAAAGATGACCTTTTTTCCACTCATGTTCAATGAAAAAAATCTGATGTGTACACCACATAACTTCCTTGTACGGAATAGTAAATTATACGCACTTTTCCTTGCATTTCGTTTAAACATATTGGATTGAATTAAATCTACTTCGCCGACAGCGCATAAACCACAATAGAATAAATGCATTCTTTAAAATTCACTCTATTTGTTTACCATAGCGACACTCTGGCGATAGGTTCACTAACAGTATTATATTTCGTTCATATTATAACTCCGAATGCACGAAATTTATATCATTTAAAGAATTATCTAATCGTTGCCACATGTTCTATTCAAATACTATAATAAAGCTAGAACGATGTATAAAAGAAATTAAGCAAACAAAACAAAAAGAAACAGTTTTTCACAGACGATTGAGTATTTCTCATTCAATTAATTCAGTTCTCACTTCGCGACAAGGCAAAAATACATAAAAACTCAAAATATCTGTATTAAAAATTACGAAGTAAATCTTAAACACTTATTTCCTCGAAAACATTCCAAAAAGGATTAAGCACGATTTAATTCACAATAATAAATGAAGGCATTATCTTTGTTGTTGCGAAGCTATGTTTCTCTAGATTGGCAACAAATCCACTACTCTGCTGTTTCAAATGTAAACAAGCAATGGCCGCCATCAAAAAAATTATTAGGCTTAGCGGCACAAACAACTTAAAAATTGTTGATAATTCTAAAAATATTGCATACAGATTTACAAAAGGCATAAAAACCTTAACCGGAAGATAAGAACAACATAATTCAATCATTTTTAAAGCAAAAAATGTACAATTTACAAACATATAAGAGTAAAGAAACAGATCACTGAGTCGGATAACAGAGTGGATATATATATATATAAATATATTTATATACGTTTGGCGGGGCCGATTGCAGCCAAAATACGAGGTGCATATCTACATGTTATAGTAGTCCTCCTATATACAAAATTTCAACGTTCTGAGGCTATTTGTTTTTGAGTTATGCGAGATACGTACGTACATACATACGTTCGTACAGATGCCACGAAAAATTCTCTTGAGAATTCATTTTAAAGCAGTTTTATAATTTTCTTGGAGGAAAACAGTCTTTTATTCTGTCCTTACGTACAGATATCACGCAAAAACATCGCTAAATTGCATTCAAAAGAGGTCAAAATGAATATTTTCATTGAAATATGCTGCCTGAAACTTTTCGCTATTACAATACTTCCTTTTTACTTTGTACAAGGAAGTAAAAAGGAAAGGAAAATAGGTTGTTATAAATTAAAGAGTTCGCCAATTGAATTATTCTTGGCACAAAGTGAAAAAAATGTGCCAAGATAAATATTTAAATTTCTACATAAATTTCTCACTAAAAATTATAAATTTAACATCTAGGCATAATTTGAGTTGTAGAATCAAAACTTGGAAAAAAATCGGTATGTCATTTCAGAAAAAGTCCAATTTTCTAAGCATATCTATGTTAGAAAAATGCTACATATAAATGTAATATATAGCGTAAGTCGTGCTTTCGAGACATGTAAAACACAATTTTGAATTTTGTCAATCGGCTCAGTAGAACGGGAGATATAGAACTGCCTCCTTTTTTTTGCACAGTGTGCATGTTCATATGTCGAGAACCCACCTCATGATGGAAGTATTACAGCATTCCAGGAATGAAATATATAAATTCAATGTTAGCATTAAATATAAAAGCTATCATGGCTTCTCATTGTCTTTGTTTTAAAGCTTCATACACCAGAATGGCATACTACAGGTTTCACATTCTACTTAATACAGAACATGTAAAATGCACTGACACAATAATACAAAAGGAATGAATGATATTTTCCATTTAAGGATGAAAATCCGATTCGTCTATTATAATAAAGAGCTTAAAATATAAGTAAAAGAGGAAAATCTTTATTTTGATTAGTTATGGTCCAGCAAATCTTTACAAGCTGGAGTTCATATACCTAACATATTCACAAAATATACTACGTTCATATACATAAATAAGCCTACATATGAGCATATGTGTGTGTGTGTTAGTATGTGTGTGTGTATATATATATATATATATATATCACTTACATATGTATTTTTTGAAATATAAATTTATGCATGTAAATAAGGTAAATAAGAAAATGAAATAAACTCACAATCCGGGGATAAAATCTCACTGTTTCCATCATGTTTAGGACTGTCTTCTACATTTACTACCTGTTACGAACAGAAATGGGTATTAAGTGGGAAAAACACTCATATACACAGTAAAAACAAATTTATAAATAAATAAATAAATTTAAAAAAATCTGAAAGGGTTCAGATTTTAAATTACGTCCAAAGGAGCATTTTTTTAACATTTCGTGTGTTACCTTTATTTATTAAATATCATGTTCTTTGCACTTAAACCCAGAAAATTCAGTTCAATAGCAATGTAGCAAAGTAACTTTATAATGAGCATATCTTTAGAATTTCCGATACACAGTTCCGTGCGCTGGAGATAAAAAGGTCCCCCCCGTAGAGTGTTGCCATTGCTCGCTTTTAAATCCTTGAGTTTGTTACTCAAAAATTTATTAAAGTTCTACAAAATATGAAATCGATAATAAAACAAATTCCAAAGTTGGTCTTTCACATGCCCATATTCGTAGGAGGATTACGTCATTCAAAATTCTATGGCTCTATTTACTGTCGTTTTATCACAATGCGAGAAATTTTATCACAATACATACATTTACAAAAATTTTTCATTATTTAATTTCTTAAAATATAATGCAGGACTGTAACATTTGGTGGCAACAGTTTGAAAAGTGATTTGCCGTTTATAGTGATTCAACGCAAAATGAAAATAATAGTTCTTCAGGGACAACGCCCCTTTGGAAAAAAAAGAAGAAAAAAAACTTACCAACGGTGTAAGTTTCATATCTTTTAGTGAAGATACACCTATGTATAAAAAACCAGCATTTTAAAATTCAATACATACTTTTTGTCAATACAGCAAAATCAACACATTATTACAGTAATACAGTACAAAGTCCGAAATCGAGACGTCTATTATCCGGAATAATCTAAAATCCGGACCTCAAAACCACCATCAATGTTTTTCTCATAGGCTTTACGCATGCGCATTTGATTCCCCTCCTCCACGCATAATAAAACATCTGCAGAGTCCCAATTCTTAATTTCACTTCGACACTAGATAAAATACCTTGTTATTGAAGAAGTAATCATTTTAGCATAAATTTGCATGATCAGTAATTTGGCTCCATTGCTGTGTATCTGCTTGGCCTACATTTTGAACCAAAACATTCCCATAGATACATCACTGATCTGACGCCAACCTGGTGAATCATTATTTATTATACTTTCCTTTCATCACCGCATGTTTATCAAAACATGACAACTTGAGTAATGACTTATGAAGTGTTGCCTAAACAATTTTTTTATGTTAGTAATTGATCGTATGGCCACACCCAGTCGCAGAATTTAGGACCCACAGAAACTGCATCAGGTGGTAAGATATCTAGCGTCGGCCATCAATAAGGCTTAAGTATATGTGGTAATTTATTTATTCAGAACTCTGAAGCTGCGTTCAGAAGGAGGCATAAAGGGCATAAGTGTTTAAAGCCGAACTCCGTTGCCAAGGCAACCAGTCTGTGCTACGTCATGAAATCTGGTTTAGGGCTCGTGGCATAGGGTTCAAAGTTTTCAACTTTACGTCAAGTTTGAGATAAGCGTTGACCAATCACAGCGAGGCTAAAACAAAGCAGTGTTCTGCAGAAGATTTCGCTGTCCTGAAACAAGCAGAGCGAACGTGGGAAATCAATCAAGCAGGAGAACAGCGTGGGAAAGTTATAGACACATCCACGCATGCGCAAATTTAGCTTCTCTCATTGGCCACGGCTTACACACCATTCTCGCAGGAGTGAACGGAACTCCTGTATTTTATGCCTCTATGCCCTTTACGCCGCCGTCTGAATGCAGCCTGATAAGCCTTAAGCATGTGCATGAAATAGACATAAGTATAATAAATAACTAAACTAATACAATTCAGGCTTAATTGTCTCAGTGCATGCTAGAAGCAAGATAAAATTTAATGGAAGAACTTGTCGTTAGTCGCCAAACTCGTGATGCATAGCCTAAATATGTATGGTGAAGGATAGCTAAATTTGATGATGATAGCTGCACTAACTTTAAAGGTTTTTCGGATATTGCAAAACAAACGTGAAAATTTTTCCAATTAACCGATTTGTAAAGAAATACGTGGAGAAGTGGTAATAAATGAAGTATAAAAGAATTTTTTTCATTGTGATGACAATGCTTCTCAATCATAAATCAATTAATGAATGGTGAAATCTGTAGTATGGTTCTAGATCCAGAAAATACCGCTACTGATAGTGAAGAAAGTGACAGAGAAGTTACCGAAAACAAGAAAATTTCGATTGACAAGTTAGTCGGAATTCTCGAAACAGCAGTTACAGGACTTTAACAATGTAACTGAACAAGAGATTATGTCTGTCTACAGAATTAAAGAGATAGTATTAGCACACAAAAATGAAGCAATTTAAACAACTTACATTGAAAGAAATCTTTAATACGGTAAAATAATAAATATTAAACTTTTTTCGTAGATTTTGATACCCTTTAGGTCAGTGTTTCCCAACCTTTTTTGTGCTATGCCCCACCTAATCCTCTCTAAAATTTTTAAGCTCCCCTAGCATATACATAATTTTTAATACTTAAAAATTGAAATATTCACGAAAGAAACTTGAATGATAGCTTTTAGGAAGAAATGACTACGAAATTTTGTGAGCAAACACAGTAAGTGAACTTTCAAAAACATGGAGAATTGAAATTCAAGGAAAAACTCATTTTAGTGAAAGTTTTTCGTTTTAAGTATTAGTAATTTTTATTATTTAAATTTAGCGAGTTCCTTGCGCTTGATACTTACCGCAAAGAAATTTTATGTCATTTTCCAATTTAGATAACTTGAGTCTCAAGTCTACCGGTTTCATTATATCCAACCAAATTTTTATTTATTTATTTATTTATTTATTTAAGAAAGCAGCAAATCATTTATGGCACTAAATCCGCATTCAGCAACATATGAAGATGGAAATGGTAACAATAGTTCTCTTTTGCAAATTTTGTTGCATTTGGATATCTGATTCCGGTTTTCTCACAAAGCTATGTCATCGCACCTTTTATATTAAATAATGTTTAAATTGGCTCATCATTCTGCATTTCTGCGAGTTCTTCTTTTTACAGCATATTTGAAATATCAGCCAAATCCACTAGCATTGGCTGCATCATCTAAGTTGGAAAATCAATTTGTTTTAAGTTAGAAAATCTTTTAAATCAGTCAATAAAATTTTCAGATGATCGGCAATAACAAGTATAGTGGTATCAATAACAAGCATAGCGGTAGTCACGTCACGTTTTTGGAGCCAATGAGACTTTTCAAAATTTTTGTAGTAAATAGTAAATGCCTGACATAATTCAACAAAGATAATGAAACCAAATATCTTCCTTTTGCATCATAAGTTTTATTTGCTCCTCAGAGTTGTTTATTTAATATACTTAAGTTTTCAAAGATATGCGCTAAATAACTCACAATTGCCTTGTTATCATCTGTTAATGGATTTTTCATTTCAGGTTTGACGCTTAAAAAATAACTAAGAGTATCAAATAGTTCCATAAATCTTTCCAAGCAGTTCCCTTTCAACAGCCTTCTTACTTCAGTGTGAAGTACAAGTCTCATAGTCCTTCATTTTGTTCTTCATAAAGTAACTTGAAAAGATGTTCACATTTGGCCCTAGCTTAATAGCATTGATACACTTTACAACTGAATTTAGTACTTCATTTAGAACAGGTGAATTGTTTTTAGCTACCAAGTTTTCTCTGTGAATAACACAATGCACAAGAAGCATTTCTGGATTCTCATCTTTTATCAATTTTAAGCAACCCTTTTTCTTATTCTGTGCATTATTTTATTTTTCAACCATCATATTAGGAGCACCATCTGCAGTACAAGATGTACTATATTTTTTACATCTAAGTAATTTTTTAGCTTACTATAAATATCTTTGGAGGTAGTGGCGCTTTGTAATGATTTACAGAACATTTCTTCGGGAAAATCCCCTTTATGAATATATCTTACATAAGTTACAAGTACGGCCTCACTGTATCTCAAAGTTGGTTCATCCATTTGCACCGAAAATTTTTTTATTTTCAGCTTTTCAACAAGTTGTATTTCAATATCCTCACTCATTTAATCTTTTTTCTGCAAACAGTATTGTTAATTAGTGGCATAGCTTTAATGTCTTTGTCTAGAACAGTTTTAAATGCTGATATTGATGGTTTGATTAAATTCTTCCCTATAGTACAACTTTTCCCAGATTAAGCAATCAGTAATGAAATTTGATAAATAGCCTCAAGAGCACGATTAACAGTTGCATTATGAACAGAAAATAGACACTTTAATATTACTTTATTTTCAAAAATTTTCCTTAAAATGTGAAAATAATTCGAATCTGAATTAATATCAGCCTTATGTTTCACCTTCAAATGCGCCTCAAGATGACCTAGTTTCATTGATTTGTTGGTCGGGCATTATTGGCATAAAAAGACAAAAGTTGACCGTTTATAGACCGGGTATGAATCCAAATTTTAAATATGCCATCGAATACCGACAAAATGTTTTTTCTTGCTTGCACCCCTCATTTCACTAAGGGCTGAAAGAAATAAATAAATATAAGATCAATATAAACAAAGCTGAAAGCAGCTGATGTTGCCATTCAAGGAAAGAATAATATACAAGTTGCCATTCCTACAGTAAAAAATAAAATAAATTTGTTGGCTGAAATATGCGCGAAACGTTTGGAAAGCACACATTATTCTTTCCAACATAATGACAGACATGTACATTTAAATGCCTTTAAAAGCATTTAAATGTCCATGTCTACAGCGAGAATTCTTTATAAAATATTTAAAATGCAACGCTGTTTAAAAACTTTTTTACGTATACAAACTTTACATTTTTTTATTTTGGGGAATAAAAAATGAAATTTCGAAAAATTTTGACTTCATGAAACATATTTAGAACATTCTTTGTCCCGTTTGAATGCCCTTTGTCCCCTTAAACTCTGGACGAGTCCATTTTCGAATTGCCCCCTAAACAGTCGCATTGCCCTCTTATGGGGTGTGGGCCCCACGTTGGGAAACACGGCTTTAGATCATAAATACTTCATTATTTCATATTTTTAATTTTATAATTTCTACATGCCATCTTACTAGATTTAAACTGATGATCTAATATCCGGAAAAATCCCAAATCCGGAATTGCAGACGTCTCGACGAATCCGGATTTCGGACTTTGTACTGTACTTTTGTAAATCTATAAATTAATTATAGTATTTATTTTTGAAAATTTATAAATCTTTAGTCTTACAAAACAGAAATACTGACGATTTAGTAAATACTTTTATTTGTATAGTAATATTTTATATCTATAGTTAAATAAAATCTCTGGTATAAGCAGGTCCTAATTTTGAGCATGCAATAACTTAACAGGATCTGAGTTAGATACTTACTTTGACCAAATAATCAATTGGATTGGATTATTCATTTATGATAAAAAATGAAGATTATCTTTTTAACCTCTTTATGAATTTTAATTGAGAACATTCAAGGGAAAGGGTGCTTTAAGTGTCTAGTACATTTCTTTTCTTCTCCTCAAAATTCATGCAACATACAGTCAACAGTATGTGGGCAATTGTTGCAGTACCTCATTACTTATAAGCCAGTATTATGATGTCCTGCACTATCATGTTCAACAGTCGATAAAGGGGACATCATCTCAACTGTTCAGCTATGTCACTGCATTATGAAAACAGCCAATTTTCACTGATAATTTTCCAAGCCAAAAAATCAAACTGATAATTTTCCAAGCCTTTATTCCAAATGTTGCAATTAAATCTTTCTTTGAGATTCTGTGGAAACCCTCACCAGTTCTTTGAACTAAAATTCTACTGCTAATCATTCTGATTCAAAGAAACAGAACTCGTTAATACATCAATTGACTAAAATTAAATTCCCCATTTCACTTCTCTAATTCCTTGCTATTCTCTCATGGCAATCAATAGGTTGCATGTGGTACATGATGCAATGATACATAAGATTACAGCCCTGCTTCAAATAACTTATCGCAAATGATTCATGGTGGCCGAATACTTCAAATAGAAACTTACTGGTGCAAGTACTAAGTTTGCAATATCAATTCGAACTACTGCACATTCTTTCCTTACTACTGCCTTTCCAGCAACTTCTCACAACCTTCCAGAATTTTTTGTCACGATATACCTCTTTATTAGCTATTAGTTACATACTAGAAAAGAAAATTTTTAATAAACTAAAAATAAATAAACTATTTTGAGTACCAAAAAAAAAAAAAAAAAAAAAATTCTGTCAAAATTATTTGCATAGAGAGTTATTCTGAATAATTAAAACTAACTTTCAAATGGATTTATGTTTGAAATTTACAAACACAGAGTAACAGGCAATATATGAAATGAAAGAAGAATTATATAAGTTTTATAAGGAATTATTTTATTCATAATAAGTATGTGAAAAATTGTTTTAAAATTTATAGAGAAAAAATGCATTTTGTTCAATAATAACTATGATTTATGTTTAATGAATTACATTTGTAAGTAAAACTTTTCATTAATGTAATAAGTATATTAAAATGCATATTTTGCATAGTGTATGATACAAATATGCTGTAATTTTCCTTTTCATAAAACTCATTTTAAGGACAGAAAATTTTCAAAATTTACTAATAAAAACAATACATTTTGTGTAAAAATTTTTCATAATCAATTCAACAAACATAATCCAAGCAGTTTACTTGGCTTGCTCCAGTGATTTAATTTCAAATTTTATACAGGCTATTCTTTCCTCTTGTGCTATAATAATTGCTGTTTTCTAAGTGTGCCGAATTCATCAAAACACTGAGAAAAATATGTCAAAAATGGCTTGTAAAGACATGTGTAGTTCCATTTCATTTCATAAGACTGTTACTTTCTGTTACATGAAAAACGTTTTGATTTTTTTCCCCCCTAAGGTTGGCAAATAAAATATAAACAAAAGGCACACAAAACAAACACGAAATACCATAATTCTGCCTAAATAAAAGTGCACAAACCAAACATATATTAGCAGAAATAATAAATATGATACTCCCAAAAAAGGAATGCTGCTATTCATACATACCAGACAAAAGACTTTTATCACTTTCTCGATGGTCGGGACTGTCATCAAGTGATATTACCTAGTAAAAGCAGTAAAATAAATTAATAAATAAATTTTTTTAAAAATCTGAAAGGATTAAAGATTCAAATTTTAATGTCAGACCAGAAAGTTTGTTAAAATTTTTTATGCTCTCGCTGAATTTAGCAATCTGCTTTTGACTTACTAATGCTAGTACAACTTTTTACTGTTGTTTTAATTCTATTTTTAAAAAATGCTTTCTTCACATTAAGCCACATAAAATTCACCAGTAAAATCACAATACATCTAAAAGCATATTTTTTTAAAATTCAAAATAGAGTGCTAAATGTTACCATACATTTTTTTTTTACACTCACTACAATATTTCTTTAATACATGGTGATAGTATTTAGTGACAACAAGTTTCTATTTGAAAAGTGATGCAGACACAAAGGTGGTAAGGACAAATAAGGGAGAATTAAGACTATTAGCAACTCTAGAGCTAAAAATAAAATGTAAAATTGTAATAAAAAATAAATAAAATGTAAGGAATAATATACATTTATAAAAAATTAAATGTAAGGAAATGTAAAATTATCAAACAGCAAAATGGAAACAGTTTATAAGGAAACTTACCAAAGGGTTTTTCTCTGTTGGAGAACTGCAATCACCTGTAAATCATTACATACCCATATATAATGAAAGCCATGTACAATTTTGTAAAATTAAATAAATAGACTACACTAGGGATCCTCAACCTTTTTTACCCCATGCATCCCTTTCACCACTATTAGAAGATCATGCCCCCCCCCTCTTTTCCCAAACTTAAAAAATAAATGTATCTATTTATCTATAGATTTAGATGATTTTTCAACATGTTTCATAAATTAAACAACACAAAGTGTAGAAAATGTTGATTAATACCAAATCTTGAATAAAAGTCGTTTCTTTTAATATTCATACACTAAAACTAAATACTTAACAGAGAAATAAAAAGCTGGTTGCATCCCTCTCCTGAGAGCTACCTTTGTTGAACCTTCGAATGAACAAAGCATCCCTCACGAAAGTATTTTATATTATAAAGAGTATAACCTACTTTCAGATCAAGTAAGTAGTTATGTTTTGCCTTTGACGGGATTAATACAGTTTATGGCTGACATAAAGTGGGATTTTTAATTTGTTTTCTTTAACGCTTTTTTAAGGTAATTTTACAGATTATTTAGTGAGTACTACAACCTGGTAAAAATAATGCCCCAACTTATCTAAAAAAAACCCACCTATACCTAACTCAAGATTAAAATAAGGTTAAACATGTCTGAATCTACTGATCAGATAACTGCTACTAAACAGAAATGTAGGCAGTAAGTATTAGAAGTTTGGCTTTATTCTGCCATTTTCAGGCACACATCTGCCCATGTGACTGTTATACAACAAAGTTTTGAACAATGAATTTATGAAACCATCCAAGCTGGAGTATCATCTGAGAAGGTGTCATCCTGATAAAACAGGCAAAGATACAAAATACTATCAAGCACTTAAAAAAAAAACATTCAGAAGAGAATCACAATAGACAGTATGTTTGCTTCAAAGTCAAAAAGAGACGATGATGGTTTGCAAGTGTCTAAAAAATATCTTACTACTTATAGCAAAACCAGGAAAGCCACATATTATCAGAGTACAACTAACTTTGTCAGCCACTGGAGAAGTTTTAACACTTTTCTACACAAACCTGCTAATGATACATTCAAAAGAATTCCTTTAAGCAAAAACACAGTTCAAAGCTGTATCAATGGAATGAGTGATGTTGAAAGCTTCTTATGTAGTTATCTGCAAACGACCCATTTTTGCATATATGGGACGAGTCAACTTTACCTGGTAATAAAGCACTATTATTTGGCGTATGTTTTGTACGTTACAGGCCAAGAAATCCCTGAACTGCACATCACAAGAATTTTTACAACAGGTACTAAAGGCAAATCAATATTGAATATATCACAGAAAAAATGATCCTTTTATCAAATATAATGTTAGCAACAGCACATGGAGCACCTGCCATGTTTGGGTACTTCTGAGGTTTCATAAGCCATTTCAAACAAAATGGACCCTGGGTGTTTGCAATTCATTGCATCATCAATTGACAACATTTAGTTGCTAAAACTCTGAGTGGCACACAGCATCAATCTCTTCAATTCACCCCAAAAGCAGTAAACAAAATTTGGAGCAACACATTGGTCCTAGATTATTTGAGCAGTTGAATGAAGTATATGATAAGAACTTTCATTGATTACTCCTTCATACTGAAGTATGCTAGCTATTAAAAGGTTTATATTTGACAGGCTTTTTTTTGGGGGGGGGAGGAATGCTAAAGATCTTATTTTAAAAGAAAATTTAATCAATTAGAAACCAGACATTGCTTATTGGAGAAGTCAAATAACAAGAATCTGTGCAACATTTATAAATTCTGCAGTATTAGTTTTAATAGTTTAACAACACAACCATCTTCCTCAGCTGCCTAACAAGTAAACCTTCTCTCCTTTGATACCGGTTTTACGAAAACCCATATATTTTCTGAAAGCTTATATCACAAATCGAAAAACTGTGAAGTCTTAGGGGCAGAGGAACAAGCATTTAGGAGTTATACAACCCACAAAGTATCATTGAACTGTGCATAGATGGACATATTTCCGTAATGGCATCTCTGTTTCTTGTAGGTTCATGCACTGTCTGCTTCCGAAGTACCTGATGGTAAAGTCCTGCAAAAAGAACTGGTACCTGAAGGATTTATGGGAAATATCCAGCCTCTAGATATTCATTTTTTCAGACACTACAAATTTTTTTGTTCGTTAGATAACGGGCACAATCATTATTGAGACACAGGAGCACATTTGGCATCGCGATAGTTTTTTGCCCCTGCAGTCCTTTTCACTATATGAATTCAGCACTCCTCATTTTAAGAACTTGATTAAGTATGCTTTTTATAAGGAGAGATACTTGGAAGACAAACCTGGAATGTGGATTGCGCCAATGGATTATTGTTTCAATTCATTGACAAATGAAAGTGTGAGGATTTCTACGTTTTCTTTTTCCTAACATATGCCTCATGCTCTTTAGCGTGAAATTTTAATTTAGTTTGACCAATGTAAATTAAACCCCATCAGCAAGAAATCCTATAAATACCCCCAAGAATTTATATCCGGAGTGGGGTCATTAGGTATGGAACTGGGAATTTTATTTAGTAGGAGAAAAAAAATTACCCAAAAGCTAAATTTCTGTACAATACATGCAATTTTATAGCATACTTGCCAACCTATGACACTCAAAAATCAGGAGATTTTTTTAAGAAATCAGGAGATTTTTCACAATGTTAAAAAGACTTTTTAAATGATAAAAATATGGTTTTTAATAATGAATTAACTTTAAATAGTAACTTATTCTTAAATGCAGCAACACAAAAATACCTTACACATAAAAAACATTTTTATTACTTGCATCGTTTAAGGAAAAAAAAAAGGAGGTTTGTTCACTGCAATTGCCACATAGGCCTGCTTTCCGCTAAGAAAAGTTTTTCTAATATGTCATCACTAATATTAGATCTAAATTTAGGTCCTCGTTTATGCAACAACACTGAAAAATCCTCTCACACACTCTGCACTACTATGGGGAACTGTCAAGATGGCCAACACAATTCTAGACAGTTGACTATATTTAAAATTCCATTAGCACCTTTCAGTTTTCCAATTAAACTCCACTGGGTGTCAATCCTAACTGATTTTATAACTTCATTCAAGTTTTCTAATTGTAACTGCTGTTATGCAGCTGTTGGAACTGTTTCAATTTTTCCTTCCTTTTAGAACTCCTTTCAAGATAATAATAAATATCAACAATGTGTTGTTCATCCACATTTATTGGTAAAGAAGCTGCCCGTTTTTCAGCTTGCTAAATTTAAGAGGTGACAGGTGCAACCTCATAATCTGCACATCTGAATTTTCCGTTCTGAAGATGCCTGCAACACCAGTGTTGAAGCCTACCAATACTGGTGCATTATCGGCACCAAGTGCTAAGCAATTATCCAGAGGGCCTGCATTTTTTTTTAAAGTATAATAATTAGCTGTGGTATATTAAAGCCTGTCAAATGTCCTTCTAAAATGGGGACAGAAAGTAAACTGCACTCAATTTCTTAAGAATCTGGATTAAAAAAAGAAACAACAATTGGATACAGTTTTGAATCAGTATTATTGCTTCCATCCGTAGATAGGCAGAATGGAGCTGTTTTATGCAATCAATAACTGAAGATTTATTTTTCAAACCCATTTCTTTAACAATTGAACCTGTTTTGATTCTTGCACTTGAGTATTTCTTAGCAATTTCACTATCGGGAAACATTTTTCTAAATAAAGCTGCAGCGTGATCCGATGCATTCAGTGGCAGGTTGTGCTCCAGTAAAAAGGCAGAGAACAGACATTCTGCATTAATCACTTTTTGGTCTTTTGTTTCCGAAGAAAAATTTAATTTTTCGTTTTTTCAAAACAACTCATGTTGTCCTTGTGTTTTTGTGTACGCACATGTTTGAGAACATCTGCCCTTCCACCAAGCGAAATCGAAAATCGCAACAACATCGCAAATTTATTACATTTCCTTGAAGAAATAATGGAAGGAAAGTCAACTGTGTACGATTTTTGAAACGTACACGAGTATTTCATTCTTGCAGACAAAACAAAAGATAGTAATTTCTAAAACTATCTTCCGAAGGCACGTGCACTCACACAACTCAGCACAAATTGAACGAAATAACTAAAGAACATCCAAATAACAGCTTGCCTTGTCCTCATTGGCTAATATATGCCAGCTGACACACAGTGGAGTCGATGCCCATTGGAGAACTGGAGAATGACGTTTCTGGAATACGTATAATGCTCTCACTCACAAAGCAGAAGTTATCTGATTTGTAAGGTTTTGTTTTAGATATAATCTAGAGAAAATTCAATTGCTTTCAGACGTCCAAAATCACTTTTGTTCATATAACAAAGTATTAAGCCAAGTTCCATAAAAATCGTGAGAAATCTTCAGAATAAGAAAAAGTCGGGAGAAATATATTGTAAATTGGGTTGGCGGGAGATCGGTCGAAAATCGGGAGACTCCCGCCTAAATCGGGAGAGTTGGCAACTCTGTTATAGCTAATCAATGGAAAGAAAAGAATAACGACTCTTAAAATGAAAGTGGGCCTTTAGATGTGTTGAGATGAGAATTTTTTAACTGTTTGGTTAATGAAAATGCTTGGTTGCATGAAAAGCCCCTGTCAACAGTAATTGTGTTGAATGAGCATAATTAGTTATAAAATTGCATATACTTTACAGAAATTTAATTTTTGGATCGGTGTTTTCTTCTAACAATAAAATTCCCAGTTCCATGCTTATGGACCCCACTCCAGATATAAATTCTATGAATTTATAGGATTTCTTGCTGATGGGGTTTAATTTACATTTGTCAAACAAACAGAGCCTTAAAATTTCACATTAAAGAATATCAGGCATATGTTAGGAAAAAGAAAACACAGAAATCCTCTGTTGAACCAGCAATGTTGATAAAAAATCCCAGTTTACATATTTCTGCAGCCAAAATTATTCAAAAAACAACTTGAACACTGGAGAATTAGATTTTCTAGAGGTGTTTTGCATTCAAACATTTTTTCTGTTCTAGTTAACGACCCTAATTTCAATCCATCTTTATTTTCAGCCTTTAAGGTAATTACGTTTTAGTTTTCTTGTTTCATCAATAGATGATTTAGGCAGCTCAGGAAGATGGTTCTATATTTAAAGCATCAATACCAGTCCTGCACAATTTATAAATATTACGCTGATTCTTGTTGTATTCATTATTCAGTTGTATTCATGATTCAATAATCATTATTCAGTATGTTATATTAACCAGACACTTCTTATCTAACAGATCTGCTTACTAAATTTAATGAGGTTAAAACTTCACGAAAAACAGGCCATCATTGCAGCTTTTTTTTTGGGGGGGGGCAGAATTAACCTAATGAAGCAAAACAATAGGATAATGGGAATTTTCCCAATATTAATTTAATGATGGTACTTGTAGAATTTAAAAAAACAATGGATAACATTTTCCAGAAACTTATTTGAAGAATTTATTACATTTGAAGTTAAACATTGAAGCAACTGAAACCAAAAAGAAGTAAAAAATAAAGCAAATAAGGTCAGAAAATGGGAAAGAATTTATATTACATTTCAGCCGTTTAACAATATGTACTTGCAGAAAGACAGAATGAAGTGAAAATACAGTTAACGTGATGTAAATATTTAATTAATACTGTATATTGAGTTAATTAAGTGAATGGAAGTCAATAACATAAAAATCTTAAAAATTCTTCACCTTAGTTGGTAAACAACTTAATTAAAAAAGAACATAAAAATTAATAATCTTATATTACATACCAGAATTGCAGCTAGTAACACTCTTTAGAACATGTTCTGAATTCTCAACCGGGTTTGTTACCTGCATTACAAAAATTATAAATGCACATAAATGCAAAATTTCAAAGTATTTTATATTTTTAAATAAGATTTGAAATTTAAACAAATATCTTACTGAAGCTACTCGTTTTTCATCTTCTGAAGATGAATCATCTGTAAATTAAAATAAAAATATTTCAATAGTAGGTAGAATTAATGCAAATGCAAAGTTTTAAAAGAAAATTTTTATAATAGCATATAATATTTAAAATTCTTATACAAATATTTTACAATTAAAAAAATTCTGATTTTATTAGTTTTCTTTATGTATAAAAAAAGAAACAGTACTTTTATATTCATGCTCCACTGAAACAGCAAACAAAAGCATAAAAAATAAGCAAAGTACAAACATACATACTGCACAAAATTAGGTAAAATAATTTCAAATTTTTTTTTTAATTTGCAATATCTGAAAGGGTTTATATTTTAATGACCGTCCAAGAGGGTTTGTTAACTTCTTTTTACATTCTCGCTGAGTCTACCAGTCTGCTTTAGCATTTACTCCGGCTAGCCTACTTCTTTTTGACTTTTTAGCTATATCATTTAAGCATTTTCTCTGGACTTATATAATTAAACAATAAAATTGCAACAATTTTAAAAGCAGCATATGTTTAGAATTCCTGATACAGTGTTAAACGTTGCCATACATTTTAATATTTTTTCAGTCTTTTCTCAGTTCATCATATCAATTCCCAGTTTTCTTATGTCATATAATAATACAGTACAAAGTCTGTAATACAGACTCGTCGGAACTTCGGTGATTCCGGATTATAGATCATTAATGTAAATCTGGTAAGATGGCATGCAGAAATTATACAATTAAAAATATGAACCGTAATTTATGAAATAAAGAGCAATTATGATCTACATTATCTTTCACTAAAACTTTAAGTGATGTACGTGCCGAACAGTTGTCAACAATCAGGACTATTTTTGAGTCATCATGTAAACCAACTGAATTCAAATGTCGCCGAGCCTCGAGTATAAAATTATTTTCAAACCAATCATTCACCAACACTTGTGTCATTAATCCTCTTTTATTTGCGTGATATATAACGGGGAAAATCATTACTCCTTTAAATGCTCAAGGTCGTGCATGTTTTCCAATTACGAAAAGTTTGCACTTGTGTGTTCCTGCAGCATTTGCTCACGCTAAATTGTTAGTCTCGCTCTGGAATCTTTGGCACCAGTTGGAGCCTTTTCTGTAGAGGTTGCTAAGGTATTTCGCGGTACATATTGCCAGAAAAGACCAGTTTCATCGGCATTGTAAATTTGTTCTGGAGATAATTGTTCACTAGTAATGAGTTCAATGAATTCATCTGCAAATTGTTCAGCAGCTTCAGTATGAGCTGAAGCTTTTTTCCTGAAATTTTTAAATGTCTTATGCCATGGCAATTTTTAAATTTGGTTAACCAACCTGTCAAATATGTGCACTCAGTGTTTAAGGTCATTTCTTCATGAAATATTTTGGCTTAAGCCATTAGCATTGGACCTGTCAATGACACGCCCTCGCTGCAATGCTGTTTAACACATTCAATCATCACGTTGTCATGATCGTCACTTTTAGCATAACGAATCCTTTTTCTGTTATTCATTGCAAGTGGGATGTCGGAAACCACCAAAAATTCAAAACCTTCCATTTTCATTTTGTTTGTGTCGCATACAGTTGACTTTCCAATGTCATACTCCTCACATAATTTTGAGACGGATATGCCTTTATCCACTTTTTGCAGCAATTCCACTTTTTGTTTGATGGACATCGAAACATGCTTTCGCTTTGTAGATCCTTTGGCAGCTCTAGAATTGGAAACTCTTTTTGACATAATCGAAAATTCAAGCTAATGTTTTATAAAATTTCTCTAACAGTCTGCAGAAAATATTAAGCCAGATCCAATTAGAAGATTAAGGAACAGCACAATCTGCAACATTAACTAAAATGCTTTAGAATCAGTAAAGATAATTTTAGCCTAGCTTATACCGTCCGTTATACATTAAATGCACATGCGTAAAGAATACAAAAAAAAAGTTTGTGGCTTTGAGGTCCGTACTATAGATCATTCCGGATAATGGACGTCCGGATTACGGACTTTGTACTGTATAATATAATACTTTTTTTTTTTTGTCTTTTTATCATTCAAATTTTGTGTGTTTACCTTATTTATTAAATATCACATTCTTGGTATTTACACCATATAAAATTCAATTCAACAGCAAAATCACAAAATATTTAAAAACAGCATATCTTAAGAATTTCTGACAGTCAATCTCATGTACTGGAGATAAAAAAGTTACATTCCATATGGTGTCACCACTGCTTGCCTTGAAATCATTGAATTTATTAGCCCAAACTTCGTTAAAAGTTTTATAAAATATGAAAGAGACAGTAAAACAAATTCTAAATTCGGGCTTCCAGGTGCCCATGTTCAGGTTAAAGACTATGCTATTCAAAATTTGATGGCTCTAGGTATTGTTGTTTTTTAACAATGTGCAAAAGATTCATACATTCAAGCAAATTCTTCATTATTTAATTTCTCTAAATATAATACAGAGCAATAATATTTGGTGGAAACAATTTGAAAAGTGGTATGCTGTTTAGAGTGATTCAACACAAAATGCCATTTCTAGACTATTCGGAATATCCCATTTCTTGTGACATGTTTATGAAACTTGATTTTTCTAGATTTTTAATTTAAAAAAATTTTTGGTCTTACTAAATTGTTTATTGGTTACCTCAAAACAGGGTATTAATTTTACACTTCTTGGGACACCAATCCCCTGATGAAGATCTCATGAGAAATGCAAATTATCTCTATATGATTTTTCATATCATGATTTTTGGTAAAACGATATCCAAATTTTCATAAAAATTTTAATTTACTTTCAGACATTTAATTTTAGAATTTAAAATGTTAATAAGGTCATTAAAAACCTTCATTGTGATTACTTAAATTCTGGTGGAGGAAACATGTATGGAATCTCATGTTAACCAGTTATTATAATTTCAGCCTTTACTGTAAATTTTCCTTTCAATACTTCTCACCAGAATGCAAATTAATAGTGAATATTTAAGGCGAGAATCCCCGGTGGTGCAGTAATTAGTGTGTAGCAAAGCTGCACCACAGGTCCGGGGTTCGATCCCCGGGCTGGGCAAGTTTGACTCATCCTTTGAGTGGGTTTATAAAATGAGTACCAAGTCTGCCTGGGGACTATATCTTGGGGTCCTGCGACAAGGTGACCACTTGCCCAGGGCATATATGTTGACACACTTCGGGGCCCAAGGTCAAGAAAGCAAATTTTGGGGGCACTGCAGGCCGTGGCCTACTAGGGCTGTTGCACCACTGAGTTTAGTTTATTTAAGCCGAGACTTTGAATGAGAAAGTGTTTCAAGCATAGCATGCTCGCCATGTGGTCAGATTCCTGCCAGCTTAAATAGCTGTAATTATTTTGCTTTATAGTTTCTCACTGCTGCAAAGTTTGATTTTGATGCTTCAGTACAATTACTGAGCCAACTTCAAGTAATATTTAACTTTACAGTCTTTGACTACTGTTTCATGTTGCACTTAAATTTGACTGTTTCGTTTAGTTGTATCACCACGAGCTATGAATGATAATTTTAACAGAGAATACACTTATATTCTAAATTCTGTTTTACATTTATATTCTAAATTAAATCTAATATTATATAAATATACAGCGAAAATCGTTTAACAAGAAACTGATGGGACTGAAATATTTTTTCGTGTTAAAAGAATTTCATGTTAAAAAATATTGGAAAAAAAAACATATATTCAACAAAATTAAGTTTATTAGATTACATTTTATTTACACAGATATGTATATATGCATGTATTTAATAAAAATCGATGAAACAAAAACATCTAGAAGAACTTAATTTAATACAAAATTTCCTAAGTTTTTAGAGAAACAAAACATTTATTGAGTTTTGGGAAAATAATCTGATATTTTCCTTTGCATTGCCTTTTTTAGAAACAAGCTGCTAACAAATTGTACGATGTCATCCATTTTATTATTCATTTCACCATTAGAATGTGCTTCTGAATAACTGCGTATACTTTTCATGATGTTCCTCATTTTGGATGATGTGGGAAAAGGAGCTGCATTATTCATTTTCATCCTCGAAATCTGCATCAATGATAACAAATACCAAAATGTCTTAGTCTGCCATAATTGGGGCTGTACACACATTACCATTATCTACTGCAACAAATTCTTCCGATGATACAGTAGGATAGTCCAATAGTACAGAAACTTTCTCAAACATTTGATTAAGTGTTGCCTCAGTTTCAATATCCTCCTTCTCCATTTTTTTTGGCTCAAACCAAACTCATTGATTTTTACACACACTGCTATGTACGTTTCACCGAATTCCAAAGCCAACTGATGAGAGATAAGACGTTTTTGTGGCGCGTTTGTAGGAGTGGAGGGTGAAAATAGCTTATATAAACAAAATTGGCTCGTGTCACAAGCTATTGAGGGTATTTCAAAGCCAAGTTATTCTCCTTTCTATGAAACATGTGAAACCACTTATCTTTCATTCCACACCCCTCTTAAATGTCGCCTGCGCAGCTGATGTTTTCCGTATTTTGTTCATTCCCAGAAGGGAAATCTTTTCATGTTAAGCAATTTTCGTTTTGTGTTAAAAGAAAAAAAAAAATGCATGAAAATACAAATCAGTTTGTCAGGACCATCGTACCAATCTGCAGCTTAAATGTGTGAAAATACAAGGCGTGTTTATATTTTGTTTTCAAAAGAATTTTTTTTGTAATTATATATATATAATTAGATTTAATTTAGATTTTCATGCAAAGAAACTTATAGCATAGCTGACAAAGAGAGTAGCTCATAAAGACAGAAATATAATTTTATATATACAGTAGACTCCCGATTATCCGTGGGCGGATTATCCGCGCTTGCCGCACAAAGTTGGGTTTTTTTTTTTTTTTTTTTTTTAGCGTAAAGCAAAGAAAATAAAAATGTTCACAAAACTGAGTGAAACATTAAATTTTCTAAACATCGTGCTTATTTATGGCAAAAATATCCCAGGCCTTCTCAGAACCTTCCCCTCTGATGAGTAAGTGATTTCTTATTCACCCAAAGGCTGCTATCACACGTCGACTTGTTTCAGAAGAACAACTGTTTGGAACAATTTTTCTGCTTTATCACAACAGCCAATCAACATAGATCGCTTTGGGGTTAACGGAGGGGAAACTGGTTCCCCATTACAAACAAGCTGATAGCATTCGAAGCTGATAGCTGATTGGTTGAAAACTAACAACCTGCAATTTTTTTGGAAAGGAAGGAAAAAGTCGCGTGTCTTTCTTTCAATAGTAAACCAGGCAGAAAAATTGTCCGAAACAGTTGTTCGTGTGAAACAAACGCCGTGTGATATGGGCCTTACAGTGCCCGCTCCACGGCCCTCTCTGGTCTTAATCTTACTGATACGTCTTACTTAATCTTACTGATTTTACAGTTATGCTTTTGTAATTACATAATACATTATAGTATTAAAACAGTACATATGTTTTAATTTTTCTGTGTATCCTTGACGCCTCTTGTAAGTACAAAGCACTTCTCTGTTTTCATTAACAAAATGCATTTTAGGTTAGTTTTGAGTGATATACTAAAATATATTAAGCGTTAGTTAAACATTTCCTGCTGTTTATCTTACGTTTTATTGTACATATACATTTTTCAAAGTTGGAATAACTGTTTTCTCTTTCACTACACCCGTTTTTAGCTTTTTTCGGATTATCCACGATTTTTGTTTTCCGTGGCGGTCGCGCCACCCAATTCCGCGGATAATCAGGAGTGTACTGTAACTCATAAATGGACAGAATATTATAAAGAAGAATGTATTACATAATGAGCCTAATTATTCACTATTTTGAACTCCAATTTTTAAAACCAAGCAAAGTTACTGAAATCCAAATTATTTTTAAAAATAAAAAACATTTACTCCTGAAATTTAATTTAAAAATATATGTTTAAATGGACAAAATAAAATATTAAAAAAACTGTGTGAAAAGTATTAAAAAAATCTTACTTATAAGCACAATTTACAAAAAATATAAACAAATACCTGAACAAATATACTTTTCTACAATATCAGAAGAAATCTTCGAAAGAACAACAACAGGCTTTACAAAATTATCAGCTTTTATCGGTTCCACCTGAATAAAAATATATAAGAAATATTAAAGTATATATAAACTAATTAATGTTTTATTTGATAGACAATATAAGCAACAACTTACCAAGCATTTTGTTTTTGAAGATGAAGAAATATCATCTAACAAAACAAAAGAGAGAGAATATTATTACCCAATTAAAACTGAATAACTAACAGTTTTAAAACTTCTATAAAAAAATAATATTTATGTTGACATTCAAAAATTAAGATTTATCCACACAATCCAGGGTATAAATATGGTATAGATTCCAAAGACCATAACATCACATTCTATATACTAACTTTTGCTAGTACCTCTATTGTTTTCATTAGAAATTCAGAATTCATGTCATTTTAAAATACTAATATACTTAAAATACTTGTGACTAATACAGTTATTAGTCATCATTCCCCTCCATGAGTAACTCATTAGATTTCTAAAAAATTTTCACCAAAAGCAAAATTCTATTTATAGATCCACAAAACTTGAGCATGTCACAAAATAATTTTGTCATATACTCTGTAATTTTGCACTAAAATACTTTTTTCAAAATGTTAAATACATATTTGGTAAATCCAGATTTACTTAGTATTTACTAAAAACAAAAAGCTAGTATATAAGTTAAAAAATATTTCTACAACACGTGCTCTTAACATAAGGGGAAAATTAATCATTCAAAGACAATTAGCTGATACTGGTAACTCTGTAGATCAGGCATGTCAAAAATTTTCAGTTCAAGAGCTGCAGGCAGCCCTTGAATACTTTTTCTGAACCCTTCTGCTCACCCTGAGAAAACAACAAAAATATACAATTATAATATATTAATAAAAATTGGAATTCCACCTAATTTAGAGGCATACATAAAACCTCCAGTGCTAAAAAACAGTCTTGAAATGGTGTTTCTAAGAGAATATTTTGTCAACGAATGTCGAGAATGTACTATCCTGTTTACTAATGGAATTAACAAAAATTCAATAGAACCAAACTCTACAAAAAAAATTCAGTGAAACTGGAATCCCCAATTTACAAGTACATTCCTGCATGGCTCCTAGAAAGCTACAAATTCTTATCAAGTGTGATTTCGATGTTCAGTAATACGTGTCAGCATGAACAACTTTCTCATTTATGAGAAAGAGCAAGTCCCCAATAATATTTGAGTTAACAGACGTACATTTGACTTCCATTCTGAAAAATCACTAGCATCAGCAGCATGTTTTCAGGCATCTGAAAGCTGAATGTAAGAAATGCAGATGCTGGGGGGGGGCAATAAGTATACATTTAACTGCTATGATTTCCCCCCCCCCAGAATTTTGCAAAACCAATTCTTGCATCTATAAAGTATATAATTTTAGATAAGCGGTAAAAATATTAAATAATTTAGTCCATATCAATATAAGTTTTAGGACCTTAAGTAAAAGAATTTATTGAAAAAATGTAAACTAAGAAAATGCAGTTTAAAGAATATAAACTGTCTAAACGGTCATAAAATCATTTCAAATTTCTTAAAAATTTTATTACTGAATATTTCAATACATACATATAAACTCTTCAATTATTCAATTCGTGTTTTTTCATCCATGTGGGCATGGGTAAACACGAATTGAAAAATTGAAGAGTTAGGTTTGGAGGCAACTTCCCTTTGATAACTCTGTTTCCAGCCTGCTCAACAATTACTTTTATGCATTTTAATTAATTTTAAGGATTATTTCAAAAATTTCATTATTATAATTTCATGGATATTAATTTCTTTTGGAGGTTGTTTACTTTAGAAAAATGTTTTTGGATGAATATTGTTTATTATTTGTTTAATTCATTTTTGAATTTTCATTGAATTTAATTGTCTTATTTTATTGCATTAAATATTTATACTGGAAATGTGCAAGTTTTTTTAAGTTTAATTCAATTGTTAATTAATCATTTATTGTTTGCTAATTAAATTTTTTTTCATTATTGTAAAATTTGCAAATTATTTAAATTAACGCTATTTTATAATTTTAATTTAGTTAATGTTAAAAAGCTTAAAGCAATAAGGTGCTAAAAAAATTAATTAAAAATTTATATTTATCTATTATTAATAGAAATTTGTAAAACAACGCTTTTATTTAAAAAATAAATTACATATTGTCAAATTTAATTACTTTGTAAAAACTTGCAAATAAGAATATAAACAAAAAATAATTTCTATAATAATGTATTTTCTAAAACATTTATAATCAATAATAAAACATTTATAATTAATATTAATAATATTAAAATTATTTTATTAATTTTTTATTACTTTTTTCAAAAAGCAAAGTTTGAAATTTTAACAGTCACAAAACATTTTATTTAAAACCATTCAGCTGCAGAGGTGATTTCTTTTCTTCTTTTAACCATTTTGTACATAAATTGCATTTGAAATTAATTTAGGTGTATTTTCATTAATTAAAGAGTTAATGGCACTCTGATGGCGTTCTATAGAAATAGTAAACAATGTCAAAAAGTGGATTTCTAATCTTTGCTTACATAATAAGCAAAGGTTAGAAATCCACCAATCCGTTTGGCGTTGTGACATCATTTACTCGCAGTGGCTTATGGGTTAAGGGATGGAAGACGATGTGCATCTGAACCGGTCCTGAGGGCAAAACAGTTTCATATCCCCATTTCTCCCTAATACAAATGGTAGCTGCATAAAAAGAGCGTTGAATGTGAACGGGGCTTTATAGAAGAGAAGTTGCCTCATTTTCAGAACTATGTAAACTGTTCTCCTTCAGTCAGCCATAGATACTTTTTTGGTCCTTTTGACACCACTGGTTAGTATTTATTAAATTTTTAAACCACTTTTCTTTGGGATCTCTTAAATGTAAATTTTTAGAACATGCAAAGTAATAAAATGAAAGCTATCCACTTTTCAAGGAATTCAGTACATTGCTGAAAAGTCTGAAATATGTTGATTCTCTAGCATTTAAATTATGCATTACTAAAGAAAGAATGAATAGAAACATCAAAGCAAACAAATCTTAGCAACAAGATTAAGAAATTAGTTTGAATAAGATCAAATTTAAAACCATGATTTATTAATTATGGTACAAGAAGTAATATCAAACAAATTTTGCCTGAAACTTGACATAGCAGATTAAATGCAATTTTAAGTTGTATAAAAGTTACTTGTTTTGCAGCAGTTTCCCCTAAATATACTTGCAAAACACATATTTAACACAAATTTGGCTTCTAAATTTATAAAATAAATTAAAATAAAAAAAGCCTTCTAAATTTGGCTTTTGGTGTTTAATTTGAACACACAAATTCTACTTACACATAACTATGATACGATCATCTCTAACACAGCTGGAATTTTCATCACAATTATTTTCCTGTTAAAAAAATTTTCAATATTCAACAATATTATCATTACTGTCTTTCTATTAAAAAAGTGCAATAAACAATAGCAATAATAATAATTAAGAACATTCTATATATAATACAGGAACTCAAGCCCAGAAAGCAGCTTACCAAATCTTTTATGTCTGATAGAGATGAAGGGTCACCTGTAAATAGAAATGTGCATTAAAATTCAGCATAGGCACCTACAAAGTTTACCTATAGATCAAATTCATTTCATCTGTATTGCATGAATGCTTTTAACTCTCCAACCGTTTGGTCAACTTTATTTTTATTCTTTCAGTGTTTCTCTTACCTTAAAATTTTGGGCAAATTGCATGAATTTCTAGTAGTCATTATCTTCAGCATAAGTTGGCACTGTTTAAATTTATAACTTCAAAAATTTTTTTATTTACATTACGAAACTTCAATCACAAGAACAATCCCAATTTCTGCCACAGGAGGATTATGAAGCATTGTTGTAAAATTAGAATTATTCAGAGATCATACCAAATCATTATATACTGTAAAATATGCATTTAACTAAGAGTAACAGAAAGTCTAAGAGTAACCTTATCAAATTTGATGCTGATCTTACTGTTTTATTACACCAGAGATAACAATTATATTATTATTATTATTAAATAAAAAAAACCTAAGAATAAATGAATCAAAGTTTTTATAACAGTAGTAATAATCCATTTTTCATATATTTTACTTTGTGGGGCAAGATATGTCAAACATTTTTAACAGAAAGATACATTTAGTCAAACACATACAATGTGCTACTATTCACTCACACCCTATTTGATTTTTATTTATGCGAGTTCATGTTGGGAAATTAGAATAAAGATAAATACTAAATTGAGCAGAGATCAGCCAATATTGTCCGCCTTTAAATTAAAATGAATGTTCTTATTTCTTAAAATAGTGTTCTTGATTTCAAAATAAATATTTTCACTAAAGAGTTTTTGAGTATGTTGTTCTGTTTTAGTTCTTTGTTTGTTAAAATACTAATAAAATGTACATATTTCTTATGATTAGAAAATTTTACCCCTATATTGTTCTATAAAAGAAAAAGATTTCTTTTTTTAATTTTTCAAGATTTTTGTTTACAAGCAACTTCTTTTGTTTGATGCTTTTAACACAGTGTGTGTTAAATTCAAACTTTGTAAACACATGTACAACATGGTATTACAAAAGGGAAAAACTACATTCATACATACTTTCACTATTTGTCAAAACAGAATTTGAATTCTCATGAAGTTATTTGCCTGCAAATAAATAAATAATAAAGAAAATATATTTTGTATTACAAAAACAATTTTTTTTCCTAAAACAACAACTGTCTCTTCGCTGAAATTTCAGATCTCTGCTAAAAATGGTTGTCAAAACAAAAAGAAAGAACAGTATTTGCAATTAATAATGTCTTTTTGAATGTGAAAAGGTCAGACAAACTTTAATTTTTAATATACTAAATGTATTTGATGTTTATAATGAGAATTTTAATGATACTAAACTGTTGGTTGAAAATTGAAAAAAGAAGAAGAAAGCAAAGAAATGGGATAGGGTAATTTACTTAAAAAAATTGAAGGGCTCACTTCTAAAAAAAATTAAGAATGGATTATCTCTCTTCTTCAGATGCAAAAGACAAATTTATTTGGGCAAAGGGGGGGGCTTAAGAAAATAAATAGGAAGTAACAAAGAACAAAGAAAAAATGAACATAGCACAATCTCTCAAAGAAAATTTAAAAAAAAAATAATAATAAATCAAATAACCATACAATATAATATAGTAAATACATTACAAATCATTACAAGCCTATTAATTTATTAAGGCTGTCAGATTTTTATACTTATTTAAATAATGTTACAAATCTTGAACAATAGATCATCCCGCTTAATGTAATAATCTTCAGTATCAAAATCCTTATTCTGTTAAATGGATTAGTTTAAAACCTTCTTTATGGTTGAATATTTTAAATTTGCCAAGGAGTTCATGTACAGTAAAAGTGCTGCTTAATGTAATCAGATTTGTCCATGGGTATTTCGATAACATTAAGCGATGAAAAATATATTTTTCTGATAATGCGATGGAATTTAATGACTTTACTTTAAATATAACAAGAAACAAATAAACCCTTACATTTACAGCATTTTAATTAGGGAAAAAATTGTTAACAGTCAGATATATTGAATTCTTATGCAAAAGTTCATTTTTCGAACTGTCCATAATGCTTCTGAAAATTATTTGACCAATGTCCATAATGCTTCTGAAAATTATTTGACGAATGTGGTACCCGTAATCTAGATACTCATGCGATACCTCTCATCTCGGCATTTGTACAAAATTCACTAATTTCATCAGCAACTTATTGAAAATTTTTATCACATGATGTGCTTGGATTTGTTTCAGATAGCGACCAGTAGATATCTTCTGTCGCTGAATCTACAGCTTGAGGTTTTCCATAAATATCCATCCAAGTGTTAAATTTCTCACAATTCATGTAATTGCAGATGTTTTTAATTCTTCAACTTTTACTTTATTATTTATTAAAAGTTTAGCATGCTTAAACCTTCAGCAATACCTTCTTCTCAAACACACACGTTATCTGTCAGTCATAGATTTGTAATTTATTATTGTAATTTGTATTATTGTTGTGATTTGTGTTATTATTGTGATTTGTAATTTTTTATTTACATATTTGTTTGTGCCTAATGCGGTACATAACTGGAATGTGAGCTGAGCACGTTCATGACCATCAAAAGGTTAAAATATTTCTTTACTGTCTTCTCTGAGAAATGGTTTCATGACCTTAATGTTCCCTCAAATGAAAATCAAGATGCTTGGCAACTTCAGCCTTTACTTGGCGACAGAACTGTGTCTTTTGCCAATCTCTACTATATTTCAACCTTTGGCAGTTTATCTTCCACTTGGTGACATAATTTCAGTTTAAATAATGCATTCTATAATATTTAAATAGCATTAACCAACTTCAGATTTTCATTAATTAACTTGCTAATCACAATTAAGTGATGAATTTTTCATGTTTTCATATACAAATGGGTGGGGGGTCTGACACTTTGATAATAATATCTGAATGATAATATTATTTGTGATCACATTAAACGGGGTATACTGTAACAGTAAACTAAATTTATCAACTGATATTTAAAGATTTAGTAGCATATTTGAGATCAAAAGTCTATCTGATGTTAAAAGTAATATACACTAAAAAGAAAAGAAATAAAATCATCATAGAATTACCTGAAGAGATAGTTACAATTTTTTTCACATATTCTGGGTCAAGTTTCTCAAGAACAACCTGAACTTCAGGTAGAGAGGACTCAATTTCAGGTAGAGAGGGCTTAAGAACTTCAGGTAGAGGGGCTAAATTCATGTTATCTTCCTATCAGTTATAAAAGTAAACAAGAACAAAACAATATAAATATCTAACTAATAATATTTTTCAGAAGTATTCATTTAACATAAGCAGTTTCATGTTTTAAATGTTAATAAGAATATTTAGATTTCTATAAATTGCACAAAACCTAAAAAGTCTGTTTACTTTTGCAGATTTATCATTACAGGTTAGTATACGATTTAAATTTTTTGTAAATTTACTCACATGGTTTTCAGTTTCCTCCCTGAATTTTTTAAATGGATGCCTCTGCAAAATGACAGTTTTATAATAGTGCTGGCCCTTTTTTGGAATTTTTTGAGTTTAGCCAATGTAGAGCAAAACATTCCACACATTTTAGCATAAAAAATGTCAAACCTTACACATGTCAGAATTTAGCTTGAATTAAATAACATGTAATACAATGTTGGCATTTTTGCACTGGGTCCCTATTTTCTGCACAGGATTTTACTCTGTTTTCTAATTAATTTAGTAAGTGTGGGAAGAGATTTAAATCACAGTATCTATTTCCCTTCTCCAACACTGGCACAAACCTTTCATTATTCTTCAAATAAACTACTGTGCCCTTCTGGGAGTAGGATTTATGCATTTTAGTGTACGATGCATCCATAATAATAAAGCTGCAAAGTTACACTAGTGCTGTGAAATTTTGCAATGAACAAATTTTGTGCAAATAAAAAGAATAATAATTGTGATTGACATCTTTAAAATATACTCTTTTGCAATAAAGTCAATGCACCATGAAGGAAGCGGTTGTTTTTGATGAAATTGAATATGTGTATACACAGATAATAAAATGATTAAAAAATCAAGGTCATAGTACCTGTTCACGGCTCACAATCACCCACTGAGTGTTCAAATTAGTAGTTGGTCGGACCATCCTGGCGGCAATGCATGCTTGAATTCTTCAAGGCAAGGCGTGGTAGAGGTTCCTAACGTCATCCTGCGACACATTCTGCCAGGCATTCGTCAGTTGTTGCTCCAGATCTGTGATATTTTGAGGTGCTCGAATCTGGAGGCCTACTATATCCCAGACATGCTCGATTGGTGAAAGGTCTGGTGACCTAGCTGGCTAAGGAAGAGTATAAACCACATGGAGACAGTCCAGAGATATGCAAGCAGTATGTGGCTTGGCATTCATTATCTTGTTGGAAAACGGCCCCAGGATGATGTGCTATAAAGGTAAAGCAACCGGCCGCAGGTTGGTATCAACATATTGTTGAGCTGTTAAAGATGTGCAGTGGATGACTAAATATGACCTGTTGTCATCAGAAATAGTGCCCGACACCATCACACCAGGGGTTATGAGTCTGATTGGGACCGAGGCCCCATCCTCTCCAGACGCGAACATGGTGGTCATCTGCTTGAAGAGTGATTCATCGCTGAACACTATACGATGCCAGTCTGATGGCAGTCATGATGATCGGCAGCGACATCACTCTAGACGACTCTGTCGATGTTGTGGGGTCAAAGGCAATCATCTTAAAAACCTCTGTGAGCGTAATTCCGCCTCAGACAAACGCCATGAGATGGTGGGCGGTACCATGGGAGGTATAGATGTAGCTGTTGTGCGTTCAATAGTCGACAATGATGCCGTTGGGGCAGTTTGGGCCTGGCGAACAATCATCCTATCTTGCCTCATATTTGTGCTCCTTGGGCCTTCCATAGCCCTTCATCAGCAATTTCCTTGTAGCAAACATTGCTGCCAACATCCCTGCACAGCAGTGTCTGTACACTATGCGTGGCAGCCTATTGCTCGGCATGACACTCTACAATGCAACCACGTTCAACATCGTTTAGCTGTCTGTACTGTCTTCAATATCGTCATAAGGGCATCTAGTTGCTTCTTTACGGAACTGCAATGGCAAGATAAATTTTCCATTTCTGTTACTGGTTTTATACCTTGCGAATTCTGCACTATAAATGAGCGCTTTGATAGCAATTCCTGTTCATTTGTCTTGAAACTTTGATCATTTGCATGTTCGATCAAGATGTTTTTGCATACCAAATTTCGTCACGATCGCAAAAGTCCTTCTTGGTGCTTCGATTTTTTTGCAAAAAAGTGTATGTAATATAATAATATTGTAACATCTATTTACACACAGATTCACAGATTTATAATCTACTAAACTTTTCCTTTAATCTCCCCATAATTATTTTACAAATGATGTAATTTTACCATTCCCAATTTTCAAGCAGTAAAAAATGATATCTGATGTATGAGTCTTGCTTAACGTGAGTTAAATCTATTGACTTAAGCTATAATGTATACTTATTTTAAATAGTCTCATACTTTTAATTTTAAAGTCAAAATTCTATTTCCTGCATTAAGCAGTTTTTTCCCTTTTTTGGGTTTTCCAAACAAAAATTGAATTTTAAATAATCATCTTTTTGTTTTTTCTTTATGCTATATTTTAAATACAGGTAACATGTCTGAATAATTTCATTTCCTAAAAAAATTCAGAAACTTGAAACTACTAAAATGCTGATTTTCTTCCTCACATCATTTGCCATTTTAGCTAAAATAATAGGCACATAAAAACGTAAATCCTCTGTAATGATAACAATAACAACATATGATAGTTTTAGCACTTTTATAAATGAGAAATTTTTAAGGGAAAAAAATCTCGGAGTAGAGAAAAATGATAAAATATATTTTGAAGCTAAATATCAATTTCTTTAACATCTACAAATTTTAAAATTAAATACATTTCATAAAATTTTTAATATATATTGAACTGCATATAAATAAAATGAGTAAAATCCAAATATGCCTTGCTCTCATACTGCTATCTATAGAGCAGGGGGGGAATGAGAAAATTACAGGATAAAAGCCTAACTATGAAATGAAGCCTTACTCAGCAGAATCCAATATGCTCAAAGGCTCAGCAGAAAAATAATAACTTTATACAGTCAAAAGTCTTTAATCCGGACTCGTCGGGACTTCAGCAATTCCGGATTATCGGTTTTTCCGGATTATAGATCATCAATTTAAATCTGGTAAGATGGCATGCAGAAATTATAAAATAAAAAATATGAAACCGTAATTTATGAAATAAAGAGCAATTATGATCTAAAGGGTATCAAAATTTACAAAAAAAGCTTAATATTTATTTGTTTACTTTATTAAACATTTCTTTCAACACGTGCATGCGTAAAGCATACATTACACAAAAAAGTCGAAATTAGAAAATTGCAACCAGAAAAGTATTTCATGTGTATTCGTGATATTTATAATGACGAGGAATTTGATTTAAATCATATCAAAGACGGAGTTCATCCAGATGAAATACTACATTTAGTAAGGAATTATAAGCCAAATAAAATAAAAACATCTCTGCCCTGAAGATAAGGATGGTGCTGACAGATCCAGTTTATTGCGTGATGCGACGCGTGACAAACTTTTTGCGCATGCGTAAATGCACTATGTGTTTACGCATGCGCAAAAAGTTTGTAGTTTTGAGGTCCGGTTTATAGATCATTCCAGATTATGGACGTCCGGATTACAGACTTTTGACTGTATCACTTCCAGATAACCAATACTTCATTCAAAGTTTCACAACATTATTAATTTCCCTTCCTTTCTAAAAATAATTATCTTTCTTCTTTTTAATCTGCTTGAAAATATTAATAAAATAACAAACATGCATTTTTAATATTAATTATAAAAATATATATGGAACATTACTTATCATTTGTTAAATTATGAAAGTTTATGATGTATATTTGTTATTATATGATATTATTTGATATTACTTATATTTGTTATCATATGATATTATTTGATATTACATATATTTATTAAATAATAACAGTAAATTATGAAAGTTCCTAAAAACTTGTAAAATAATGGTTTTATACTAATTTTTAAATCATCATTCTAAATTTGCCATGGGTAAAATCTGCAATGAAAAAACAGCACTCATTCTACTTTTTAAAAAATCATACTCCATATACATAATTACTTTGTTGTTTAAATTTTGCAAATTAATACAATTATTATTAAAAAAACTTACCTGAAGGTTTTTCTTTATAGATTTGTCTTTCACAGAGGGAATAACTGAATTTTTTTTGGCACTGGAGAGAAACTCACCTATACATCAAAGAACAATTATATTTAATACTAAAAAGATAAATAAACATGAACAACTTCAGATCTGCCTTTAATAAATTACCTTATTTCCCAAATTTCTGTTCTGTACATACATATATAAATATGTTTGTATGCCTGATAATCATAAACATAATAAACATATTTATTGTATTATTTAAAAAATCTAGTGCAATGCTAACCTAACTCATATTGTACTAACAATCAGCACCAAAATAAGAAAAAAAATAATGATTTTTATGGCATGAATTTCCTTTTATAAACTCTTAATTCATGTATTTTGGGCTCTCTTTAAATAATAAACATGGGTTTATTCATTTCACTTATTGAGTTTAATAAATTTTAAGCAGGAAGTTGACATTTTTCTTTTTACTTCCTTGTATGAAGTAAAGGAACTATTGTAATCACGAAAAATTCCGGGTATCATATTTCAACGAAAATATCCCTTTGACCGCTATCGAATGCAATTTAACAATGTTTTTGAGTGACATCTATACGTAAGGACAGAATAAAAGACTTTTCCCCCTTTCCCCAAATGTATTATAAAACTGATTTAAAATGAATTGCGAAGAGTTCTTTTTTCATGGTATCTGTATGTATGTATGTGCATACATATCTCACATAACTCAAAAATGAGTAACCTCAGAACGTTTAAATTTTGTATATAGGACTACTATAACATGTAGATATGCCTCCTGTTTTGCTTGCAATCAGCCGCACCAAAAGTATATAAAAATATTTGAATTTAACAAGCATTCTCTATTCGTAAAAAGCAAATTTAAAGTTAGTTAAATTTTAAATGAAATTGAATTACAAATAAATTATTAATTATTGCTGCAAACTAATCTACAATATACTATATTCTAATATTCTAATATAGTATAGAAACTATATTCTTTTAAACATATACATATTTAAAAGAATATAGTTTATGCAAAATAATTTAAGAAAGTAAGAATAAAGAAATTGAGATTACTGAGCCGAGTAACAGAGTGAATATATATACTATATTCTTTTAAAAAGATATATATATATCCACATAATGCAATAAATTATTTTAAAACATACCATACTTAAATAAATTTGCAGTTTTAAAAACTAACTACTTTTGAAATAATGCAGCTATGTATCTAATAAAATGGGACGAATCAGGAGAACATATTTAGAAAAGTGGTAAAAAAATTAGGGCATAATTTCTGTAAAATTGTAAGACATTTTAAGGATATCATTTTATTAGCAGAAACTGAATTTCTAACCTACCATTATCTTAAATTTTTAAAACATTTTAAAATCTGCTGTAACAGCACCATAAATGATTTTGCTTTAAAGATGGTTGAATAAAAAAATAAAAATCTGAAAGGATTCAGATTTTAAATTACATCCAAAGGGGCATTTTTTTTAACATTTTGTCTGTTACCTTAATTTATTAAATATCACGTTTTTCGCACTTAACTCTCCGAAGATTTTGAAAGAGATAAGGTATTCTTTTGTAAAGCATCAGCAGCTTTGCCAACAGAGTGCTTCAAATGTGTGGAAGGTTTCTATCACTGTATCCACCGAAAGTGTTAAGCAGTTTTTCTTTCCCATCGACACCTGCGGAGAATCATCCAGATGAACTAATTAGCATCGGCTGTAAAAGTATAAATCACTGTCAGAACTTCGGGAGTTTTCAAGAAATAGAATGCTTCGAAAGCGATCTGACATTGTAACAGTAACTGTTCACTTTATGCTATGGATTTTGTTATTAATTGAAAATTTTGAGGGAAATTGAAAATCAAGACTTTAAAAGAAAAAAATGCAGATGTTTAATTTTTTTCCCGTTCATAAAGCTTCATTTTTATGTATGTATACATGTGCATGTGCATATAAGACGCACTTTTTTTCTAACTTTGGTCTCAAAAATGTTACCTGCGTCTTATACGTGAAGGACAGGATAATGTGACCACAATCTATCTGAATATTTAAGAAAGTCTTCTCAACAGGTTTGCTTCCTATAGGCTCATATTTATTTATTATTACCTACATGTGTGACTGCTATTTTTTTATACAGAGAATGTTTTCCCCATCTAGGGTTTGCAACCAAAAAAAATTAAAGATTTTAATTTCCGTAAAACAAAATACAAAACAGACATTCTAAGCCAAAACTGAAGTGAAAACACTTTTTATTCACCAAAATGCACAATATATTTCTACTTCAACTAAAAGGAACAAAATTAAGTTTTGTTCGTGTGGCTGGCTGGTTCAGTTAGAAATAAATATATAATCTTTTTTTCCTTCTTTCCTCTAAGAAACGAAAATTCAACAAGATACTTTTTTTTAACAAAACAAAACGCACGATTGTATTCATTTTCAATAAAAAATAGTTTATACTATTTGGATATTGCAGAACATAGGAGAGCTACTTATTGCAAACATATCAGGGTTGCCATCGTGAAGGGCTTTCTAAGGGAAACTAACTTTGCACAAAACACCTATGATGCAGTCATCCCATTCACCTATCGCTCGAGCCTAAATCAAACTATCGGCAAGTGTTTTATCATTTAGCTATTAGCAAGGTTCAACTAGAACAAACAAATTCAAAAATTTTATTCGACTTACTCGACACCCGCAATAAGAAAATTCTAGTCTTAGTATATTTCTTGTGCTCTGCAGTTAGCTAATTTTAATGCAATTAGCATGTAATATCGATATTGAAAAAAAATTTAAATGTAAACTGCACTTTTGAATTTTCTTTCATATTGTTCTAAATTTTACAGTGTGAGCCTAGTTGTACGAACAGAAACAGATAATAGTTATATATGTCCAGGGCATACTGACTCTCCTGGATAGCGGAAAAGAAGTCTTTTTCATCAAAGGTGCCATATATAATACGTAGAATGACAATGCACATTGCCTTTCATTCTTATCGTCCCTCCTCTAATTTTCAATGCATGTCCTATTCTTTCTTCTAGTCGTTTTACATTACCGCTTCTTTTCAACATGCACCCTATTTAAAAATACTTGATCTGTTTTTAGAAATAGAGGTTAAACTTTTTTCAGTATCGTAAGAGAAAGGCTTTCAACCGAATGTAAGAATGCATTTCTGCGAGTACAATTTTGTAGGAAATTCTTCTGCAAAATGCTTCAATTTTATAATGAATATGTGCATAATATATACAAAATATATGAACAGGTTTTATAATTATATATATATTATTTACAAATTCGTTTTCAAAATCATAGTTTTTTTTTTACCCAAAAGGGGGGACAGATGGGCTACTAGTCTCAAAAACACTATAAACTATTAACTGCCATAAACTTATGGTTTCACTAAAAACGGTGAATCGACTTTTAAATTGTTGCCACCAAATATTAATCGTCCTGTATTATATTTAAAGAAATTAAATCATTAAGAATCTTCATGAATACATGTCTTGCATTATTAAAAATACAGTACCTAGAGCCATCAAATTAAGAATAACATAATCCTCCACTCGAATATGCACACTGGAAACTGGAATTTTTAAGTTTGAATTTTTTTATTATATCTCTTTATTTTGTTGAACATGTATCTTTGACTAATTTTTTGATTAGAAAACTCAACAATTTCGAGCTTAGTAATGGTAATAATTAAAATATTTTTATCTCCAGCGTGCAAGACTGTTTATCGGAAATTCTAAAGATATTCTGTTTTTTCCTTTTATGATATTTGATTGGTATTATCTGGCTTTAATTCCGAAGAACAGGTATTTTAAAATGTTGCGTAACAAACAGTAAAGCATCACAAATTATAATAAAATCTGAAAGCTATCTGAATTTTAATCGAAATTTTAAAATAATTGAATTTTTAAGTCCAGAAGAATTAGTCGAAAGCCGCGAATCTTTTTTCAGAAACGTTCAAACCCTAAGAGAATACATGAACATATGTATGTTTTCGCATTGTGGAAAAACAAGAGTCATCACAGACCTTTGGAACAACGGGATCAGAAAGCACATAGTCCTCCACCCGAACAAGGCCACTTGGAAGCGAGAATTTAGAATCTGGAATATGTTTTTATTGTCTATTTCATATTCTGTACATCCTTAATGGATTTTTGATTAAAAAACTGAACAATTTCAAAGCGAGCAATGGCAACACTGTAAGAAATAAAACATTTTTGTCTACAGCCTGCGAGCCTGTGTACTGGAAATTCTAATGATATGCTGTTTCTAAATATTTTTAGCCCAAAGTGGCGTTAACCCAAATGTTCTCGAAACATGTGTGTGTCTGTAAATGAAATAAATTGCCCATTTGGAACCAACAAACAACATGTATGTTTTCATTTTTTATTTTTGGGGGGGGGGGAGTATTGAACCCAGTTTCACATAACTTTTCAACCAAATATTTTGTGCTAGCATTTTTTTTTTTCTTTTTTCTTTTTTTTTCTTTCTTTTTTTTTTTTTTTTTTTTTAATAAAACATTTTAGAAAAGTACTTAAATAAATGGATCTTATATCAAGTCAAAGAAAGTGCATAACTGTCATAAGAAAAACTGAAGCAAGGAGGAATAAAAAGTTTCACAGGTTGTAATTTTAAACTAATCTAATTAGCTTATAAGATAGACTCTTATTAATTTTTTGCAATGATAATAATAGAAAAATAATGGGAATAAAGATGCCTGCAGATTTCTTTATGTAGAGTAAAATAATGTAAATATTTTATATGTAAATATTTTATATTAAAATAAATTTCATAACCCTTAATTTTAATAAAACAGAATTATATTTGCATGAGGTTTGCTTATTTCATAAAAAGCATGTGCATATTTGTATCCTATAAAATAATTTGTTAAAATTTCTACAGGGTATTTGAATGGGCTCCAGACTTGCTTGTTTGGGGGCTGCTTGTTATTTCATAAAATAACAAGCACATATTTATATTATATACAACAATGCCTTTAATATGTCAATTCACCAAATGCCCATGATCTTTTTCGAGCTTTATATAAAAGGAGAGTTATATAA